TCCAATGTAAGTAACTAAAATAACGACGGTACCACAAACACCCAATTACTCCAATTACACCATAGCTTAACAATTTCATCAGTGCTCATACAATTTTAAAAAATCGAGTCCAAATTATTCATCTATGTCTATTTTAGGGTTCCTAATTATCCTGGCTGTAAACTATCGTAGACATACATAGTTTTGAGAAGTAAAAAAGTTTTTCAACTCGTTTCGCCTATCAAGAAACAGGATTTCCAATTGTGGCACAAAATTGCACTGACTGAGGTTGACCTATTTGAGCATTTGGTAATTACTATTAGGGTAAAAGGGGATAAAGGGAGTCACTTAAGCAATTATTGTAATAACAATCGAATCCAAAATAAAATATTTATATAATAAATATTTTATATGGGATTCGATTATATAAAATTAACATATAATAAAAATAACGTAAACTAATAATTAAGATACATTTCAGTTTGACTTTATAATATGGGAATCATAATACTTTAAAAAAATTACATTTTGACCACCTTTGCCCTTACGTGTTGGCAATTGTGGTCATCTATTTGCAATTAGGGTAAGGTAAATTAAATAAACATCACAACCATTTCAGCTGCTTCTAAGTCTTCTTCAGTGAACACCTTGGGATACAATGGAAAAATACCAGAACTCTAAAGCCAGAGTCTCCCTGAATCTCAGCTGACTCCTATTACTCACAAATGATTTGTCTATAAATAAAAAATGTCATTAATAATTCAGAAAATAAGGAGCAAAATAAGTAGAAAATCAAGTTTCTTAATACTAGCTTCAATACATACATAAAATTTTCACCAGTGTAAATAATTAAATGAGCTACATGAGCCTACGATTTTATATCGTTCGAGAATTAGATCAACAGAGAGCTATACTACCACTAGACTACCACTAAACGGATCGTTCGGGTAACCACCACGGGGATAAGGGTGGTTACTCGAGTACCTAAAAAACTAAACTTAAACCGGCAACGGGATTCCCCGCAATGGCTTGGCCATTAATCTCCATCATCCTCCCGAACGATTTGCTTAGTGGTAGTCTAGTGGTAGTATAGCTCTCTGTTGATCTAATTCTCGAACGATATAAAATCGTAGGCTCATGTGACTCATTTAATTATTTACACTGCCGAAGGTAGGGAAGGTAGGGTAGGTACCTTCGGGAATGATATTTCATTCATCATGTTTCTTACAGTGTTTAAAATCAAAAACACCTATCAATCTTACATCGATTAGTTTTTGTTTTTGTTAAATATTTTACACCATTAACAGGGTCACTGGACTAAAAATATTTATTCTTAAAACAAGTCTAAAAATTATTTAAAAAATATGCAAAAATATTTAGCTGGAAAGAAAAAAAAATATTCCCCGCTCGCTCGGTTATTTTTTACAGCCCATGACACTCCCACAACCAAGACGAATCTAACGACATCTCATATGTCAACATCCATCAAGCCGTTTAGGCTGTACAGCGTGAAAAAAAAATGGATATATACACACTTGAAAAACATAACCCTCCAGTCGGGTAAAAAAGTACATTCTTAACTATCATAATTATTTGATAATTATTATGAAGTGAGGTACTGATTATTTCACTTTTCAGCGCCAATGTAATAAGTTACCAGTCGCCAATTAGATGTTTTTACAACAAGTACCTAATTGAACATTGCGAATTATTTATACAATACAGATTGTACCATGCTTGTACTTGTGTTGTATTTTCTGAACTGTATTCTCAGTGGTATTTTAATAACAATAGACTATATAAATGTGTCTACATAGCTTCTAATATAAATCTGTGTCAGCGCATGATGATCGTGCAGTTATTGATATTATGTTATGAATTCTGTAACAATATCTAATCTATTATGGATAGTCCAATCAATTCCGATTGATTGATTCATACTCCGGTATGATGACAACCAGAAGCTCACCCAAGAGACGACAAAGAGAATAAGCCCCAACCCGCACCCCAGCAATTAACAGTAGTATCGACTGCAGAAATAGAATAGTGGTTTGCAGCATGCAGCATTTCAAATGAAGATAAACTTAATTCAGAGTAAAAATTTAAAATGAACAGCAGAAGCGTTCTGGAAGAAGTTTCCCAGTTGGTCGTGAAATACCAGTCCATAAAACTAAATACATTTAATCTCAAATTATTATCCAGAACTGTAATGATCAGAAAGGCATCTCTGTCCAAATCCTCCAAAGGTAGCAGCACAGAATTCATCCTTTGCTGACATTGTTAAAAAGGGACACAAGTCAATTGTTCGTCCACCCAGTACCAGCAGCATTATTGTTTACCCAACAAACAGAAATCAAGCGAGTACACAAAAAAGCCCATTCAATTTATAATTAAGCCCGAAGAGCTGAACCTGCACATCCGAGTCACGAGGAAGACTAAAGGTAAAGGTGTCATAATCAGCGCTGCAGGTAAAGATGACCTCAATCGAGCTGCAGCAATCTGAGCAACTGAAAACTGCAGGGCTAAAAGTCGAAGACGCAATTAAAACGAGATCAAAAATAATATTAATAGGGGTGCCCATGTGCCCACCTCTACTCCTAAGTAGGAGGTGCTGGAATGCCTGTTTGAACAGAACAGAAAATATCCACACATGCTACGCGAAGTTTTTAAGCTCGATTAAGTTGAACCACAAATCTGGCAAAAGTGACTCATCATACTGCAATTTTATATTGGAATTACTAGAAGATATCAGAAGCATGGTCATCCAACACTTGTGAGTGTTTATTAACTAGTCACACTGCGCCGTCAGAGACTTCGCAATCGTAACCAGATATTGCAAATGTCAGCAGTACCTATGGACATTCCGCAAACTTTTGTTGAGACACCGATTCTACTTGTGGTCACTGCAGCTGCGTGGGTTATACAATTAAAGATTACTCCGAATTGCAAGAACCACCTAAATGCGCTTCCTGTCAGCGGTATAACAAGCCAAGCCAACACAGGACGGGAGACGCAATGTGCCTAGCGAGAAAAAGTACTGGAGCCAGATATTTAAGTCCCACCGACTATAAAAGGCGCTTAGAGCGCCGAACACCAAGACATAATACTCATTCCTGTGTTAATCAGTAATGGAACAAACGATTTTAGTAAATGACATAGACTATAAGAAAACCATACAAGACTGGTTAAAAGCAAAAAAGACTACATTGAAAATTTTATACCCGTTGTTACATAATACGTAATATTAATAATAAGTACTTAAGATGCTACCGATCACCGATTTGGATACCTTAAGATACAAGTAAACAATTTTACTTCATTTAGGTATCACCTAGATTAACTTGCACCTTAATGTGTACAATAGTCTGCGCATTTACGTAAATAAAAGGTTATTTAATAAGATTCATGTATTTAGGTAATGCTTTTATGCAGACAAATTTATATTTATCTTATATTTACTAGGTACTGGAGATTGACTCTATCGGAAATTTCTCTAAACGTGTTTGAAAGGGAATCGTCAGGTCTTTGCGATTAGAAAGTAAAAGAGAGCCACTTTAGAAATTTTGTGGTACGTATTAAATTTATACGAAAATCTTAGGTCATATCAGCCTTCGTTTTACTTGCAACAGGTTGGTACCTGTTGCAAATAAAACGAAGGTTCCGTGATGGGTCACGGAACAATAAATACATTAGAAGTGCTTCATGGGCGTGGCATGTAAACAGTACGCGGAGATCCGCATACTTGAGCTCAGTCCGCTATCTCAAAGAAAACCCGCTAAAGCAGCCCGGCGCAACTAGCGCCATCTAGTTCAAATATAAAATCAAAACGTCGTCACTTGCTGGGTGAACTTAAACTTTCAACTTTAAATTATTTTAACGGTCCAGAATTTAGTACATCGTTTTAAATGAGAAACTACGACCAATTATTATCAAGATTTAATAGTGCTACTACCACTTTCTTTTGTTGAGTTATCGCCGTTTCTTTTTGATTACTTCCTCGCTGCTGAGGATCGTGACTCCACTTCATCCCGCCAATTATTATTTGTTTCCATCGATTGCGCTCAGTCGCCTGTAGGGCTAGCACGATAGGACGCGACTAGCGCGAGTGCGACTTAAAGCGTGAGATACTGCTATTCTCGCATTGAGATCCGCAGAGAGCCCCAGTGGTGGAGTGCGGCACTGACAGGTAACTCCAAATGTTCGGAGATCTGGGGGTCTACTCTCGTTCTCAATCCTTAACAATGACTGTCAAATAAGTATTACTAGATGGACGGATGACCTGGTAAGGGCGGCGGGTAACCGATGGAAGCCCGTTGCGTCCGTATGTTCAGCAGTGGACATCTTCCGGCTGACACGATGAAGTAATACTCGCCGAAATTGAAAGACAATGTCAAGTATGAAGCTTCATGCGCATCTTGCATCTTTAAATTATAACCTCCTCTATAACCTACCTTTGTGGCCGAACGGTTACTTTTCTGGGCTGCCACTGTGCGGTTCCCGGACCGGGAGAAATATTTGTGTGGCTTACATTTATTTGTCCCGTGAGTTTGGGTGAAATTTGTGGTTGTCTATGTGTGTGTCCATGCACCCGCGATACAGGGTTTCCCTAGTGCGGGGTTATGAGTGTGTACCTGCGTTATGGCAATTTGGTCGAGTATTACTTATTTGACAGTAATTGTTTCGAACGGATGTCGGACGAACAACGAGATAACAGGTCCTGATCTGACCACCGTTTGGCACTCCTGCCACAAGGTCTCTTTCCTTCCACCTTCCCTGTCACTTTCAAATGTTCCAAACGCTACCTCCGTTTAGAGCGATCTATTTAAATATTTTTGTACGAAAGCAAATAAAATCTGACGAATTATTAAAAGCCTTGGAATAAAAGTTGTTGTTTGACTTTAGTAATATAGTCCTGCTATATACTAAACATACGTTGATAGTATTTTATAAATAACCCTGTAAAGCTCAGTTAAAAAACTATTTAATTAGAAAATATAGACATTCTATTAAGAAGTACTTACATAAGCAAACAGCAGCTAGAAGCTTCACAGCGTTCTGTGGAGGATCACAATCGGAAAAGAAAGGCTTCACGACATAGTGGCCAAAGGTAAGAGCCACGATAGCCTGTGTTGTAGGTCTGATGATGAGCAAGGCGATCCATAACCTCAGAAATGCCGGTAGAGGTCCAAAGGCTGTGTAGATGTAGGCATAGTCACCGCCCGATCGGGTGATGGATGTACCGAGCTCTGCATAACAGAGAGCGCCCAATGTGGATAGTAGGCCAGATAGAAGCCAAATTATTAGTGACACCGCAACTGATCTGCGAAAAAAAGAAATTAAATATTTAGTCACTCTACTCGTACACACATTTTATTATTCGCTAAATAATTATCATTAATTACAGGTTTCTTATCACGGTATGACTTCCTTTAATACGGAATGATTACCGTCCATGGGGCTGAACCGTTCCGAAACATCGGTTAAATAAAAAGAAGTCACATCAATTGTGGCAAGAAACCAGTTATTAGTGATAATCATTTAGGTACACTAATCTTATACTAACATCCTAAGGCCCAGTGTATATGAAAATGTACATAATCATTGAAATGAAAATTTGCAATCAAATTTAGTGCTTTATGTTATGAATTTATGACCATAGAGTATGTAAAAAAAATACATTTTTCATACAAAACTGAGAGCAAACTTGCTAGGGTTAAATTTACAAACGGCAGCACATCAAGCTACACATTGGCAGATTGGGTCCGTTTTCGGTCCATCCGATTTCAATAAAACTTCTCTTTTGTGGTAGGTTTTTTTTTTATAAAGAAGTTATGATTATTTCAATTTTATTTTACGTTACGTTACATGATGAGCCAAATCTGTGTTTTTCATCATATATTTATGAAGTTATCCTTGCTCGTGTGAAGTACATAAGTTTGTGGTTACTCGGAAACCACGACAGTGAATCGTAAACCAAATGGTCCGTTATTCAACGGCATGTGAAACCGATACTAAGCACTGTTGATATCGTTACAGTTACTGCACATTATACAGGTTTCAAGGCCGCGTTCCTAACTCAAGATGTATGAATATTACTTTCAGTTAATATGTGTATAGGCACGTGCATTGACAAGTAATTATTCGTAGAGTGTTATTACACTGTTGTTGTTATTACAATGCAATAATGACCAACAATTTTGTTGATATTATTTAAAATTATATTCAGTTAAATATTTGAAACGTGAATTTTTTTTACGTAGGTATATTGTTTTTAGAGTTACTACGAAAATTTAATTTGAATATTAGGGTAAGGTTGTGTTAGTCGTACCACCGCCTAAGTCGTACTCCAGCGGTATCTGGTCTCACTGACACTGAGAAAAGATCTTATGATGACAGCCGAACTGATCAGGTACGGTAGCGCTGAAGACTCTGGTTCGAATCCAGCCGGATCGAAGGAATTTTCTTAGTGTTCGGTTTTTGTAACAATAATTAGAACAAACTAATGGAGTAATTTCACAAAAAGTAATTGAATATCATGGTTGTAAAACATCGTGATATTCAATAAACTTAATAAGCCGAAGATCGAACCTTCTTTTTATTTTAACTTAATTTTATTTTATTTATTCATGGTAAACTATATCAATTTAGTTTACACTTTTAGATATATCAATACGACATAAACATGTAAGCACTCTAGAGAGGAAAAACAGTGATTGAAGAATTATGAGAAATTTACGATCACAAATTCAAGTATAAAAAGAATAGTTTCCTAAGAATTAAACAAAAAATCGCTGAGTAACCCTCTCGCTTTGGCAACTCTAGTGTTAAAGAAATAAATTTTTAGACCTGTTCTTTTTTATTTTATTTTTTGTTTCTTTATTTTTTTTCACAAAATTTGGGAAACATAATATTAGTAAATAAATACTTAATACAAAAATAACAGAAAATGGCCAAAAAAACAAAGATGGCGTAGTGTTCATTGGAGGTATCGAGATGTTCATCAAATATAGGCTAATTTAATCGGGTTGGTTCCATCCCAATTAAATTAGCCTCCAAATAAAAAAAAATTAAAAATGTTTATTCGAATACAGTGGTATAAGCTACAAACTAAGGTTGGTGCCAACTTATTAAGTAATTAAACGCTTAAGTCAGGAACCCCGCTCCTCGGTAATCCCCAACAGTAAGTAGAACAAGAATAATGTTCAGTGCTCAAACTTTCAGTTCCCGATACGACATGACATTAACTTTACCCTTAACTGATCCATATAACTTCGTCTACGTCTTCCCCTGCCAGACTTTCTTTCGATCTTCTCTTCTATAATGCATTTAAGAAGACTGTTGTGACGTGTTAGATGTCCAAACATCTTTCCCCTTCGGATCTTTAACAATAATATTAACCTGTAATATTGCAGTCGAATAATCGCAATTTCTCTCTTGGTCAGGGTTTTGTACTATAAAATATATTATTGACTGGATTATATACTGGTAGAGTACGTCAATATTGCTAGGACTAGGAATAACGTCAATATCAAGGTTATTTTTAAATACTCGAACGCCACCTCACACATTTTTTACAAAACTTTGTAATTATTATAGTTGTTGTATTAGCAGTACTTATAGTGTTAGTCGCAGAAGAGCTCATTGTGAAAGAGTTCGTCCAGGTGAGTACTGCAATCTTACCTATTTCTGCCGCCAAGCAGCAATGTCAGCATTACTGTGTTCCGGATTTGAAGGGTAAGGGTGCTGGTGAAATTACAGGTGTCGGGCGCAGTGGCAGTGCCCCTCAGATCTTTGTGACTTAAACTCTGGGTGGTATTGCAGCTGTTATGGTCAGGCGTGTCGCTTACCATCCGTCACACGACTTGTTTGTCCCGTCACTTAGTTACAATAAAAACAAATACAAAAATCGAACAAACACAAAGCGAAATTCCTTCGATCCCACTGCTGGGTACGGGTCTCCTATCAGGCGAGGGTTTAGGAATTGCGGGTTGGGTACTTCACACGTTTTCCGGGTCTTGTGAACTTTCTTCGACGTGCAGGTTTCATTAGGATGTTTTCCTTCACCGAAAAACGCGTAGTAAATTTCATATTGAATTTCGCACATAAACTCCGAGAAAGTCAGAGGTGCGAGGCCGAATTCTAACCCACAATCTATACGGTAATAAAAACATCATGATATTCAATAAAAATAAATATTGCAAAAATTGGTTTATTTTACTTGCCACTTAGTAGGTCAATAGCCACAACAATTAATCATTACAGATGAAAAATTTAATACAGCTGAAACAAATAAAAAAAAATACTGCATAAAAACTGCCTAAAAAGTTTTTTTTCTCCATACTTAGACATAAGACCATTAAGTTCAAGCTCGGCTCTACCCGTACGCTGAATAAGGCTTAAACAGGAAAAAGAATGGCATAATGTTCGCTCAGTTCTTCCTTTTACCTGTTAATTTTATTTCTGAAGTAGGTATATTTACGTGAAAAGTATAACTCTCGTTAGTTATTTAATACAGTACGTAAACATATTCACAATAATTATTTGAGAGATCCATAATTGAAAATTTTTATTAGGGATACAGTTGCATGTTTGGTATGTATACTGCAATTTATTATATATATATATATATATATATATATGTGTATATATATATATATATATGTATGTATATATATATGTATATATATATATATATATATTTACAACAAGTTATTATCTATTATATATATTATATTAATTAGATGTCAACAAATTTAATGTTAAAAATACTTAGAATAATAAATTTTCTTTTTCATTATTTCATGGTGTAATTTTGCAAACGTAATCAATATATGTTAGATGTTACCACTCGCACCTTTAGAATGAAAGTGACCCAATTAAAAAAAAATAAAATTTAATGAGTTATTAGGTTATCGCGATTGTTACACATAAGAAATTAAACTATTTTTCCGAATCTAAATCTCGTATATTTTGTTTCCGACCAAACAAACCGACCTTTCGCGTCCTAACTGAGGCAGTCATGACCATGGGGTCGAAACGTTCGTTTATTTGAAAAAACAAGTATACGCAACGTAAATACGAAGAAATAATTTCATTTCCTATACCATAAAAACGACTTAAAAAAATCAGTGGTCATAAGGTCGTTAATCTGAAAATGACCCATTAAAGCTCGAATGGTACTGACTCACTACAATATGAGTCTCTCATATGTTTGAAATTCTACACCCGCGTCGGTATGCAACCGCAGTATTTAGTGATTGTGTGAGTGAGTGAAGATGTTATCTTTGCAGAAAAAATTACGGCAACCGAAAATCATCGTACAATTTTCACAAACGTGACTTGCTTACTTACTTGGTTACTCAGATGACTTTGTTTTACAATTAAAACGGCCGTTAGTTAATAACGATAACAAAAAGTTCATAATTTTAAGTTTGTTAAATATTAATATAAACAATTTTTGATATTATAATGCTTAATGTTTGTCATCATTATTTTCCAGGTGTAACAAGGCTTTAGTACCTTTAGTACTTCAAAAGTTTTGGTGAAATTACAGGCGCATGGGACTTGTCAGCTTATATCTAAGGGTGACGGGCGCAGTGGCAATGGCAGTGCCTCTCAGATCGTTGCGATAGGAATCTCTGAACAGCAGCAGCGTTTCTTAGTATTATAAAAAAATAGTAATAAATTAAAAAGGTGACAATGTCACAACTTCAAATGTTATTTTGCGTATTCCAAAGAAGTTGGTATTTTGCGTTGGGTCACTTTCATTCTAAAAGTGGGTGCTTATTGTAGTTACGATAGTATTATAATAGGTTAATAATAGGCTAGTTTCATCATAGCAAACCGTATGCTAAAACATAACACATCTCTCATCTCTTTCATGACATCACCAGGATAGATTAGATTGAAGTGGGTACAAAACGAACCTTGTGAGAGAACACCGGAACCAACGAGGCTTAAAATCCCACATAAAACAATATACATAGTCAGATGTTACCAACCATACCAAGAGGCACAATGAAAACATTTAATACTCGCATAACTATATGTATAATGTTAATTTACATAAATTGGGCTACCGTTAACTGTATATACTTATGTATCTTCTGTATAGTATAGAGGTATGTAATAATTGTAGAAAAATACTATACTTACTAAAAACTACAACTTAGTATTTCTTTGGAAATCCTACTGATTGATTGCGTGATTCGAGCACGAGCGTGATAATTGCAGTAAGTACATTTTTTTTATGACATCAAACGACGGAACGATAAATCGTGCACCTTAAGCGACACACTTGTCTATAATACTTGCAGTGCCACTCAGAGCTTTAAATCACAAAGACCTGTGGGGCACTGCCTCTAAGCCAGTCACTCTGAAAGAAAACCAAAATGTAATAATGTTCACATCAATGCCTTCCTGGACGAACTTATTCACGAGCTCTACTGCAACTAAAATACATAGTTTTACGTTGCGTACGTAATCTTAAGTTATAAGTATTCCTTTTATTTATTTATAATCAGCGATATAAACTATGTACAAGTGATAAAATCATGACTGAAAATAAGTTTTTTGGCCTACAGGTACGCAACAATAACCAGCTATCAGTTCTTTTAACTTCTGTACCCATTCCTTGATAGCTCCTTACAAAGTCACTATACTTTGTATAAATTAGTGCCTAATATTTTCCATAAATAACAAATCCGATAATCTATTACTTTTCCCTAAGTAATTGGTGTAACCTTAAAAAAATGTGATTGTCATAACAAATGACTGCGAACACCTAAAGTGGAGTGGAATTATTTGTCAAATTCATAAATATCTTATTTCATAAGTAAGCAAATTACACTTGAAGTCACATTATTAAACTGCAACCTACTCATTCGTAAGGCAAATTTCTTTGAGAAGAATGAGTTGCAAACTCTAGAGCAACCTCTTTTTGTACCTAATTAGATGTATAATAAAATAGATAAATAAATTTGTTCACAATTTGTAATTTACAAAACTTGTTTCAAATATCATTTTGTGAGTAATTTTCAGGTTAGTTTTCTCTCCCTAATTTCGGTGGCAATTTTTATTATTTAATAATTTTTATTATTTATTTTTCGAGTAAAGTAACCTGAAATATTATTTAATATTTCACAATAATATACTGAAATACTAATATTTAAAAAATTGCCACTAGAATTAGGTAGAGAAAACTAACCTGAAAATTACCAACGTACTGCTATAGATAGGCGTGTCGCTTGTACCCAGACTCACGACTTGCTTGTCCTGTTGCGTCACCTTGATATCATAAAAAAATCGTAAGGGCTGTGTAATCAATAATCATCAGTATAAAGTTTTTGTTTTACTATTATAGTTTTAATCCTCGTAAATGCAAAATTTTAATGTCAACAGGAAAACTATATAGTGCCACTTAAATGAATTTGTGACTATGTAAAGACGAGTATCAAAAACAGCCAGGTTATGGTTATTCCTCGTATTAATGCTATATACCGTATATCACTATACTCCATATTATTATTCGGTAACATAAATTACATTTTCATAATGTGCTGTGGCGCTAGTGTAAGAATTTCTACATCTTCATTGATGACGATTAAGGAAAACCATGAACCAATTTCTATTAAAAATGGGCTGTTCTGATGTGTAGTACCGCCTGACCTTGAAGATGCCTAATTTGTTGGTAGCTGTTTTTATAGCAATCGGTCTAGCGACCAAAACTGAGGTTGGATGGATGTACCAAACCGAGTAGTTCCAAGCAAGTAGTGCAGTGAAGGACAGTCCGTTTTGTAAAGACAGTGTACGCCTGTATTTTGGTGGCATTACACTTAAATCTATTTGGTCTTCCCAATCGCAAACATCTTTCAAACACAGATTCAACAGTGTGACCTTCTTACAAGCTAAAAACGCTTTGTCTATAGATCTATATTACAAAATTTTACACAATGAATATTTAGAAACTTAATTCTAACTATAATGAACTCTCCACTGTCAGAAAAAGATAAGTTTTATTTATTTAATGTTTGTTGGAAAGTTGTAACCAATCTCGGCAATAATAACTAAGATTTATGTCCTGGATATATAATTCAGGAGCTCAATTGTATATTACATGTACAGAAAGATAAGAAGCTGACTAATGTTTGATGGATATGTGTCACCAATTTCGGTGATAATTATGACAAGGGCTCACTTATGATCGATTACGTGCGTAAAACAAACGATCGAAATGTAATTTATTTTGTACAAAAGTCCTTGGCCCAGCTGTGTAAAAATTGCTTAACCCCACCAAATGCAAAAATTGCTTAACGCATTATGCTAATAAGACAATTTACAACTAGTGGGTACTCAGTAGTGTACTTAATAATGAAATAATAAAAAGTATGTTTGCTACTCGCGTTTATTACCACCCGATACGGCTTGATTAGAATGATTTATGAAATGTTAACGTTCAAATAATAATTCCTAGAATCTTTGAAAGTAATAAATGCTATTAATAAAATTGTGCATTGAGAACTGCGTGATTATTAAAATAGTTAAAATACTGAAATAGCTACCTATTCAAGATTCTTCGCATTTGGAAATACTTCAACGTTCATTATTTGGCAGGACATTACAAATCTTTTACTTTTCTTATTATTTTCGTTATTAAACGATGTTTTAATAACTTAATTAGTGAAGCGATTTATTATGATGAATTGTTTTTATTTATTTTGAGTTTACATAATTGTGAAAGGTCAATAGAGTTATCAATGTTTAAATGTAGACAAAAACCGGTTATTTTCAACATCATAAATTACTTGTGACATAAATTTTAAAATTTATGTAATCTAAAAGACAAGCTATGGTATGTAGCATTTATAATTTCTCAACTAGCATTTACGACAAAGAAATTTATTATATTGTTATACAATTGTTTGTTTGTACAAAAATCATAATAGTGAGTAGGTACATCTAACTAAACGGCTTGTAGAGTTTAATAATAGTTTAGAGGTAAGGCGGGAAATTTAAGCACTCTTCTTACCCAGTGTACTTGAAAACTCCAGTTGGAGAAATAAAAATGCCGGAACCAATAATAGTTCCAATTATAATTCCCACTCCATTGAATAAAGTTATTTTACGTTTTAAAACCACTTTTCCGTCTCCGGCCTGAGATTCTTCACCCATTCCGCTAAAAATCGATCGCGTACACCGGTACGCAAAACACGTGGGCCCTAAAAGACAATCGCGTCACGCGCGTTTAACGCCGCGCCGCCGAGACAGTCTCGCCCGACAGCTCGCCACGATAACTCCTACACGACTGAATCACTTTCTGTTACCATTTTTACGATCTTCGAAACTGGAATAGGCGAAATGGCTGACGTCAGAACAAAACTTAATAAGGCGAGTCCACTGTGCACTTGCCACAGCGCATGTGCGCTAAGGGGACTTGTGGAGCCCCGCGTCGCCACTGACGTTGGCACTGATAAAGATGAGAAATGGCACCAGTCAAAAGAGCGAAAGAGATGCCATGAACTTAACGTGTTGCACACAAGTTTGTCAGTCTGTGCACCTGTAGAAGTTTAACTGAGATTCATTTTAATGTATGAAGTTTGATATTGTAAATAAGTCTGTTTCTCGTTAGATAAACTTAGCTTACAATTAGAGTGTGTGATAAGATTTTAAAATGTAGAGTCGATACAAATGTACCTGACGTACTAAAGGATATAGTTTCATTCATAAATATTGCAAGGAATAAACCTCAAATTTTCTAGTAGGAAAATCTTCTGCCGTCTACAGAAACAAATAGGTAATGTTTATTAGTGGAAACGTCAATTTATTAAATATTCCGATTGTCACTGGGGATTTGTGTGTGCTCTATACGACCAGAATGACGAGATCCATCTATGGTGCGTTTTAAATGCATGCAAAATTTTGTCGTTTTCGCGAATCTTTACCTACACTATAAGCGCTCTATCAAACTATAGCGAATCGTGAACAAACGACCTTGATAACGTTTTATTGATTTTCGTGTATAGACTTCCATGTGTCCTTAGATAAGAAATTTGTTTTCCAAACTTCTAAATTGACTTTGATCGTAACATTACTTTACATTCATCGACAATTACAATAAACAAATGTTTTGTAAATGGTACAATAGTGTGTTTTCCTTTTTCAGTCTCTAATTTTCATACGATTAATTGATGTCATGATTATAAAAGTAAGGAGTTATAAAAAAATCATAACGTAGTTATTATATGTAAGTTGTAATGACCGCGTTAATAATAGTACCATCTAATAAATATTAAAAAGTACATTAGTGAAAATTGATGATTGCACCTTTTAATCGAAAAGAAAATACGTAACCGGATCAATTATGGAGTCGAGAGTATAAGAATAACTAAAAAAGTAATACACATACGCAGCCACAATAAAGTTTTATGTACTATATGAATCAAACTTTATTGTAGCTGCGTGTGCAAATTGTCTTCCATTGCAATATGGAAAAAGATATATATATTTGTGTATAGCCGTGTCAAAACCCTTTGAAACCTGCTAATTTTTCTTGCAATTTTCGATGTTATTTATTTTAATCATTAATTAATTAATCAATCCATATACAAGTGTAATAAGAGTTGAATTCTAATGTGAAACTGAAAGTGATAAAATCTAAGCAAACTGTCAAGAAAACATGGACGGTGTAAAAATAGAGCGTCGCGTTTTTACAACGCTTTTCTTACTATAAGCATTCTAAAATGAGCGCGACATTATAAAACTAACTTTCCTTGGGTTTGAGAAGTCTCATTAAATGTAATTTTTACTTTGAAGGGGAAGAAATATTATGAGTCCTTTGACTAACGTTGATATCATTTGCTGCAAGAATTTCTCATAGCTGAATATATTTTTGTATCTAAATATCTAACTAATAAATATTTAAAAATGAGTAGGTACAGATGAAAGCACAAAGTGTTAAACAAACAAAGCATCTCAACAAAGCGCATTAATATAATGTGTACAGATAGATAGCATCTTCACTTACCTATTGTAATCTTGTTTTTAAAGACATCGCGGGAGACATCCTGAAATAACATGAATTTGCAGTCAGCGATGCGCCCGCGCCGAGGGCGCTGTAGTCGCGCGCTTATCCGACGCCATTTTCACACTGTCCGCGAGCTTTCCCTCACTCAGGTATGTACTGATTAGTTTTTTGTAAAAATAAACTTAACACTTGCCGTAACAATTACACAAATATCATCACAAATTGCGCTCCTAACCATCGAAAATTACCGTAACTGATAATTAAGATCTAAAAATGTCATTTCAATTCAAAAAACAAGAACATTGACCCTCGAGCGCACACGTAATAGTAATAGCATGTTTTTAGTTCGGGCTAATAATTACTGAATACAAAACACTGAAACACTGCACGTACTTAATGTACACTATTTTATTTGTGTATCACTGAATTATAGAACCAGTAAACACTTTGATAAGCCGTTGGGAAGGAATAACACCTAAATGTGAACTTAGGAATGTGGCCGTCACGTTTCGGTTACATCAACGGACAGACTACAATGCACTGCTAATACTTCGAAGTAGAGTGTTTGCTATGATGTGTTCGCAAGATAATCTATTTATGTCACCATGTCCTTATTTTTTAATAGATCACTAAGCATCCCCCGCAACGGCAGCATTGCGAGTCAGGAGTCGCGTCGTAAGCTACTTGCCTTTCGCATATGCTGTTCAACCCTGCTAAAACACTTACAAACGTACTATTCATTCAGTTTTCCATCAAGGGAAAAACACCAATGACCTTTATTCAAGACTGTGTTGAAGGTAAAGTGGAAAACATGGATGGAACGCTAACCGGAGAAGATAGCGGAAGATCTTCGCGACCCATCAGAAACAGGCGTTACACCCGGTCAGTTAATATATTTATGTAATGAGTCATTACTTAATTTTCTTTGTGCGTCATTTACACAGAAAACAAGGAATTTGAGAGTACATTATTCGTTGCTCTCTGCGAAAACGTCACACTGATTGTTTTTGTGTTCTTTCTGTCACGTCTAGGCAATTTCTATGATTATTATTGTTCACATGCAGGAGAAGCTTAGTGGCAGGACAGCGGCCACAGAAGAGACTATTCACCCCAGAAATTAAACGGTATTTAAAGGACTGGCTGGTGCGCCGAAGAGAGAATCCCTATCCGAATAGAGAGGAGAAGAAATATCTATCTCATGAAACTGGTCTCACCTATACTCAGGTACATATGAATACTTACATAGTTTACCTACAAGAAAAGTAACATGATTTTAAAAACTGGCGATATTTTCCCCATTCTGCTGTGTAGTGTTTCATGTTTGCAACCTATTTGGACTCGTGCCAAAAATTGCTATTTGCACATAAATAGGCACTATTTTTGTCACTGATGTTAAACGATTGTTTGTTTTAAATAATGTATGGAGCTGAATTAATTAATCAACTTAAATCAGTAATTAATAAAATACACGTTTTAATTGCCAGTCCATCGAGTGCTATGTACTTAATGTGCCAGTCTAAGTATGAACGTACAGTGATTAGTGTCTACATGACGTACCTACTAACCTCTTTGTATGTCAAGACTGAAAACATAATTTTTAGCGATTAGCGGTATAGATCTTTTTTCTTTTTTTTTATAACATCATGTGACGGGACGAACACGTCGAGCGCGTGATGGTTAGCTACTCGCCTGTCCATAACAGTTACAGTGCCACTCAGAGCTTTAAATTGCAAAAATCTGAGGGGCTTATGTAAACTTATGTCTCAGGGTGATTGGTGCAGTGGCAGTCACTGCACCAATCACCCTGAGACATAAGTTGACAAGTCCCATGTGCCTGTAATTTCACCAGCACCCTTACCCTTCAAAACCGGAACACAGTAATGCTGACATTACCGCATGGCGGCAGAATTAGGTAAGGTGGCAGTACCACCCTGGACGAACTCTTTCACAAGGAGCTCTACTGTTACTAAAAGATTTCTAATATGATCTCTAATGCAAAATAAAAGACAACATGCTATTTAGCGGAGCACGAAAGTTAGTGATTGTTCGAACAAAACAATTATATATTTAAAATCACTTTTTTCGTTTTTCAGATTTGCAACTGGTTTGCTAACTGGCGAAGAAAGTTAAAGAATGTTAACACCGATCGAAACCAACAAACTTGGGGTCATCTCATTCGCACATACAACGATAGCGCGCAAGGTAACGTGGAGCAGTTCAGTATCTGCTCCGACGACAGCATTTGGAGTGGACCTAGACCATCCAGCCCAAGCCAAGGTACCTTGGATGTCGAGGATGAATACGTCGACAGCCCAGAACCCGATGCATACCGTCAAGAGCAGTCTGATGAGTCGTCTTCCTCAAAGGAAAAATACGAAAACAACAATTCTTATGTAGAGCCAAAACTAGAATCGACAATAAATGAAGAATCCAAAAATGTCACCAGCCCACTTCTTTTAAGCAAATGGTTGGAAAGTGCAGCCCGTTTTCAACCCAGTGAAATAAACTACTCCTGGTGGGCCGATGAGAAACGTCGAAAGCCAGAGCAGAGGATCAAGTTGACTATAAACACATCACGCCACGATCGAGACGAGGTGGAAGCCGCTGTAGCACTCACAGCTTTAGCTACTGCTACAAATCGTGTTACTACGCCATAAGATACCAAAGACTTTCGAAATTCCAATTTAAAAAATAAGAACACTTTCGATATATTATAACGATGTGCTTTAACTCAAAAATCAAAAGAACCGTAAAAGATCTTTTATAGTGTTGGGTCATGGAAAAGTTTGAAAATAATCATATTTTTCAGAGAAATACATATTTTTCTGCATATTTTTCCATTCTAAGATTTTTCCTATATTTTTCCACATTTGGTAGTGAAACATGCCAAAAGTTGAAAGTACTGAACTTCATTAAGAGAATTTGAGAAAATAAGCCAAGCAGGGTTTAGGAAATTGCATTTAGCAATGTGTATACAGTATTATTTTATAATTCATGCTAAATAAAACATTAAAAGGTATACTAATAATAATAAAGATATACCAGTCTTGGAATTATATTTTTCCAATTTTACAGAATTTTTTTCTGAAAAATGTCCACTGGGCACATGTTTTAAATTTTTCGGAAAATTACCCAACGCTACACCTACGTTAATATTTTTCGAATTATAGTTAAGATTATATAAACAATACCAGTTTAAATCGGTGTCAAAATACGTACGGTGAGTCGTACCTCTCCAGATACACGAGTATATAAGCCGTTTCCTTAGCGTTCTAGACGCAGTTATATATGTGACATTGTAACTTTAGCTGATTGTATGTGCATACAAACCTACTCATGGTGAATTCACATTAAGGATATCTTGAAATTATTTTGTCAATTATAAATTAAAACTGTGAATAAGTGTTAGATTTAAGTGTTTGTCCTTTGAGTGAGTCATTTACGTTAAAATATTCACACGCTCAGTGTTAACATTGTAACAATGAAAACTTCTTTGCTCAAATGTTGCATTAGCTTAGCATATGGTTCAAAATACATTTAATTGATCTCTTAGTCTAGTTAACCACGATCGATGCCAAAGATTGTATTTTCAATGTTTTAGTTGGATTAGAAAATAAAACTGTTGTTGTAAACATAGTGTCTGTGTTGTTCCCTTCCTTATTTGATAACCATCAGTGAATTAACTATCACAAATTATTTCTTCGTTATATTTATATATTAATTGTGTAAACCTCGTAACCTCCATTAATGTTAAATCTGAGTAGGTACAAAAAAAGAGTTACTACAAATAATTATACAATAATCTATGATTACACCTTTATTTTATAACTAAAAACGGATCTACAATTTATATTTTAAGCTTTAACTGCCCGACATTGCACTTGAAGAGTAAAAAAGGGATTTCGACCAAAAACAAAGTAAGGAGGTTTTCAAATATAGTTGACAATTTAAAAGTTACCATTCTGCCTAAGAAGCGCAAATATTTATTTATGCACTAGAAAATATACAATAAACCACTATACCAACATTGCAAAAAAAATCAAATAACTCGACATGTAAACAAGCTTCAATTTATTTATACAACAATATCATCATTACTAACATTCACATTTCTATAAACACACTTAAGTATCCACATCCTTTGTTTCTTGTGCTTTTTGCACCTCTCCATCTTTACTAGGAGCACTTTGTAACTCAACATGTTTTTCCAGATGCGACACTAAGATTTGCTGTCCTTGTTGAAGCTGGACAACAAGACTGGAAGCTGCCCTTTGTAAGACATTGCATAGTTGACTTCTAGCTATATCTAAGCTCGGCAGTTGACTAAACTCTACCAGTTCATTTTTGGACAGTAATTTGTCTTCTATTATACCAGCTGAAAATAAAAAAATGATATTTAAGGTTTTAATTAAGGTTTTCAACCTTAATTACTAAAAACTTTACATTTCAACTAGTCTCCAAGGAAGTTCACAAAAATCTAATATTTTCATTATTTTCAATTATTTATCAAGACTAGTTGAAATGCATCAAGTATATAACGAGTATATAATATAGTAAATAGAGATGAAGTGTGGTTTAATTTGTTTGAAAACTATTCTGCCGAATTATACGGTGACAACTGCGCTCCGATTGACCAGCCCGAATTCGAAACAATTGACCAGTGCTGTCAATTGTTTCACTTCAACTCGACCAGTTTAACTTGAGCTGTGCTATAATGGACAAAAATTGAAAAATTACGTATTTAATATTTGATTGCCAATGAAATATAATTCTGTTTGTTTTGTAATTAGATGTTTTGCTGTTTCATGATACAGAATAATTTGAGAAAAGAAAATATTACCTGTAACATGTAACAAAACACTTTTCAATTTGTCCAATGATATCTGTTCTATAGAACAAATGAGACATACTCCTTAAACCCGTTACGCATCCTACTGATATATGTGTGTCCATAACAAGTTTCTTAAGAACAAGTAGTGACATACGAAAAGACAAAATGGGCAGTAAACACATTTGAACCATACAAAGCTCCGGGCCAAGATGGAGTATTCCCTGCACTCCTACAATGGGGCGGGGACACACTGGACCTGGTCAGCATCTTTCGGGCCTGTCTAGCATTCAGCTATGTGCCCCACAGCTGGCGAGAGGTAAAAGTCATATTTATACCGAAACCAGGAAAACCCGACTACACTGACGCGAAGTCCTTCAGACCAATCAGCCTCACATCGTTCATCTTGAAGACTTTAGAAAGGATATGTGACAGAGAACTGAGGGATGGAGCGCTTAAGAACATTCCATTACACGGTAACCAACATGCATACAGCCAAGGCAAATCCACTGAATCGGCCCTACATGCCGTTGTGGGCAAGATAGAAGTGGCCCTTAAAGACAAAGCAATCTGCCTAGGCACCTTTATAGACATTGAAGGAGCCTTCGATAAAACCAACTTCTCCAGCATACAATCAGCAATGAAAAGACACAAAGTAGACGAAGTGCTAAATAGCTGGATTAGCAACATACTGAAACAACGAACAATAAAAACAACAGCTAATGAGACCCCATGGGCCATAGTAGCGAAGGGGTGCCCTCAAGGAGGGGTATTGTCGCCTCTGCTGTGGTCGTAAATGACCTTATCATTAAACTCAACAAAGAACATTTCTATACAATAGGATATGCTGATGACATAGCTATACTGGTAACAGGAAACTATGCCAATACACTCTGCGACATTACACAAGCGGCTCTCCGAATTGTGGAAAGATGGTGCAGAGCATATGAACTATCGGTAAATCCAACTAAGACGGAACTAGTAATGTTTACCAACAAACGACTACTAGGTAACTACCGATTACCCAAACTCTTCAGCACAGAACTACAGATATCAACCGAAGTCAAGTACTTGGGAGTAATACTGGACAACAAGTTGAACTGGAACAAACATCTGGACAACAAAATTAAAAAAGCTACTATCACCTTCTGGCAGTGCCTTAGAATGGTGGGTAAACAATGGAGACTTTCACCCAAGATAACACTATGGCTCTACACTGCGGTAATAAGACCCATGATCAGTTACGGCGCGATAGTATGGTGGCCACGAACCAAGCTGACGACCGCAACCGACAAGCTGGACAAATTCCAAAGACTCGCTTGCATGGCGACGACCGGCTGCATGAGGACGACTCCAACTGCGGCCCTCGAAGCGATGCTGGACCTTCGACCCCTCCCACTGTTCATCAGACAGGAAGCGGCGTCAACAGCAGTGTGTCTATACAGAGCCGGTCTCTGGAAGCACATGAGGACCCCACATACAGAAATCCTTTACAAGATTGTCAATGAGGAACCGCTACTGGAGGCGGTTGTGGATAGGATCCCAAAACAATACATCTTTGACAAGAAATACAAGATACAATTATTTGAAGATCCCAACGAAGGACTAAACCCCAGAGAGGTCCGAGTCTTCACAGATGGATCTAAAACAAACTCAGGAACAGGCACTGGGGTATTCTCAGAAGACCTCAATATCAGGATATCAGCACCGCTTGGTGACCACAACGCAGTATTCCAGGCTGAATGCATGGGCATCAAGTTGGCGGCAGAAGCAATCATAGCGAGAAGAGTAAAGAACTACTCCATTCGAATACTCTCCAACAGTATGTCAGTACTTCAAGCACTGAATAGCTATGAAATAAACTCAGGGCTCATTTACGAATGCCATCAAGCACTCATGGAGGTATGTATACAAAACCACGTAACTCTTCAGTGGATTAAAGGGCACAGCGGCTCACGTGGCAATGACGCAGCAGATGAACTAGCCAGGAAAGGGTCGGAGACGGACGCTGTAGGACCAGAACCGATAGTGTCCCTCCCCTGCCAAAGGTCCAGAACAACTATACACAAAGGTACAAAATCTTTACATAATAATACATGGACCACCCTAACGGTTTGTAGACAGGCGAGGGAAGCACTCCCAACGCTCAACTCGAAATCTCGAATACTAATTAAACTTAAAAGGCAAGAGCTTCGCACTCTAACTGCCGCCCTAACAGGTCATGGTCCATACAATAAACACCTTTTCAATTTAGGTATCACAGACAGCCCTCTATGCAGAGCATGCATGGAGGGGGAGGAAACGGCTGCGCACATCCTACTTCAGTGCTCCTGCATGGCCAACTACAGGGCAAAATACCTTGGAGTGCCAAGGTCGCTCCCCGAAGTCTTCAGCAAACCAAGGAGGCTGCTGAGATTCCTGGAGGAGCTTGGGTGGCACGAGTAGACCCTGCACCCACCACACGCAAAATAGGCGCTTTGTCGTCGAGTTGCGGATATCAGCTCGTTGCACCAAGTACCAAGTACCAACAAGTTTCTTAAGAATTTTGTTTTTTAATTTTTACAAGTATTTGTACTTTTTTTTTAATCATGGATGAAAACACAGTTGGACGTGAGGACGCCATGTGGCTTTAGGATGCTACCATATCAAAATTATTAAAGAAAATGTGTCTCTGTTGATTGTATATTCAACAGCACATCAAGCTATTCACTTTTGTATGAATATCGCCTCCAGTGCAATGGAACAAGATTAGTCTATGTGTAACTTGACATTCTGCCCTCTTGCATGGGCATATGACATGTTAAATGTATTTTTTAACATTGTAACACTACTATTATGTGAACATTTGCTTTAAAATCATTAATGCTACAAAAAAAAGAAATTATGCAATGGGAAAAATATTGGCCTCCTTATCATAACTAACATATAACCAACAGTTTTACATATACATATACAAACCCCTATAAGCTATTTTTTGAAATAGCTTATTTCATTACAGTTTTATTATAAGCAAAATAAGCGTAATTGAGATTTTTCAAGCCAAGTTTTGTGTGAATATGGCTCTGTCATTTTGCGCAACGATTCCGCCAACATGAGGGTAGTTATAATCAATATTAAGAGTGCTATGATGAGACAAATGAACAAATTTATGGTTACTGGTAGGTTTTCGTATAGGTTCCAATGATTCATTACATTGTATTTAGGGAATATATTACATAAAATTGAGTTCATTTCACAACTTCATTTGCAAGCTACCCTAATACCCCACTAAATGCAAGTTGAACTTACCCATGACGATCATTTGAGGTGTTTTTTTCAATATTTTGAACATGAGAGCAACATTTTCTGGTTGACCAAATATAATATTCTGATGTGATTTGAATAATTTGTTTACAGCTTCATATCGCGTCCCATGGGTGGCTATAGACACAATTTTCTTTCCATACGTTCTTAAATGCATATTATTTTTCTTCAAAGTTGCAAATACAGGTGTCTTTTCTTCCATACTTATTGAATTCATGTGCAAAAATACAACCATTTTGGAGGTGTTGAACCAGTTGAGACATTCATTCGCTAGAATTCTCTCAAAAGGGTTATCGATCTGTTCTTTTTTTTTGCTTTCACCTCTATCACATAACTCTATCTGTGGTAATTTATTTCTTGGAGGCCCGTAAAATGGCTTAGTAAAATCAATCAACAATTGCCGTTCAAAGTGAGGTGCTCTTGGTTTCTGTATGTTAATCTTACCGCGGAACCTTTTGGTTATTAAATAAGTAACTTGGGGAGGCAGTAAAGCTGTAAAAAAAGGTAAAATATCAATAATTAAAAACTCAAATAGGTATCATCTAACAGGTCCTTTACGAAATTAAAAAGAAATAATGCTTCCTGCAAGTTACGTAATATAACGTGCCTTTTTTGAAAGTGGCCATTGCTAATCAGAATCAGAAAATAATGTAACTGTTTTAATTTTCTCTATATTTTTAACAATAACATAACCTCCAAATCCAAAACTCGCATTCACAATTCACAAGACTCATCCTATTTAGTTTAGAAAAATCTGTTTGACAGCGAGATGACATAAAAAAAACGTAAAAGGAACGTAGTTATAAAATGAGTGACTTGGAACCTCAACCGCCCAATAAATATGTACGACGTGTTTAAATAATTTTAAATTATATTTTTTTGAATACACTAATAGTCATGATATACTGTTATTATATATTGCAAAATGCAGTTATTTAATGAATTAATTATTTCGAAGTACTAGTTATTTATGCGTGTAACATAACTTTTTATGTTTTAATTATAAGACTTATAAATTAGTAGTTGAAAATTTTGAAAATATCAAGGAAAAAATAGAAATTAAAGAAAAGTTCAACGTTACATTTACAGTCTTTCTAGTCTTTATTATCTTTTTCAGTTGATGCTCTTTAGTCAAATAAATAACAATATTTTTTTTTGATTTGGGGAAACCTTTGCCCAGTAGTGAGTCTCAGTAGGTTAATAAAAAATAGAGAAATAAAAATGATTTTTATTTGTCTGTTTTTTTATTAACCCCTTGTGACTCTCTGCTGGGTAAAGGCTTTCCCCTCAGACCACAGTGGTTTCCCCAAATCCAACAATTTTATTATTTTTGTTGTTATTGACTAAAGCACATCAACTAAAAAAAATAATAAAGACTTTATAAAAGATTGAAGAACTTAGGTAAAGAGTTGTGAAAATTTACTTTATGGTTTAAATTACTTGACATTTTAAGGGTCGTATTCCAGAAATCTACTCAATACTCAAGTCAGGACTTGAGCAGATTTGAGTATAATTTCAAGCACTGTAAATACGACCCTAATGGCAAGGACTTGAGTATGATTTCCAGTGCTTTAAATCATACTCAAGTCCTGACTTTAGCATTGAGTAGAGTTTTGGAATACGACGCTTCCTAATTTCATTCTTCTTTCATTACTCTATAAGCCAAATTTCTTTTGTTTCTAACGTCTAAGAAGTCAATGCCCAATAAACATAAGAGGATAGAAAAAAAATTAATGACATTGACATTGTGTTGACAGCGCATATAATGTCATGCATGACATGACGTCATGCTGGTCGTGGTGAGTGAGACGTGAGATAAAGGCACAAGCTACTAAAGCTTAAGTTCCTCTATATAAGCAATACTCTTTGGCTAAGTCGTAGACACAAACTAATAAGAGATACTACGTATGTCGTAGAATAGAACATGATACTGTTGCATGCATGATTTTCTTGTCTCTTGCTTACTAAATAACATGTGATGTTGTCAAAACACCCAGACGATATATTTTTTTAAATCCTGTTGTCCTACGTGGCTATAAATTCGTTGAAGATTCTGCATCTTCACAAAAATATTGATTTGTTCTCATATTCGTCTGGCGGCGCTTTTACATTGAGGTTAGTTTTCAGTTTAGCCGTGCACAACAAAGCTGACGTCACCAATTAAATATATTTATGCAATTCCAAAAAAATGAGAATCCAGCAAGAGGACACTCCGCCGTCTTCAATAAACGGCGACGAAATTACCGGCATGGAGGACGAAGGCGTCATATATCTCGAAGAAATGGAGGAGATACCGTTTGACGAAGACATGGAAGATATAGACGACCAGGAGGAAGAGGACGCTGAGATGGAACCTCCTGAAGACCACTCTAAACTGGTATTCAGTAAGCATGTCGGCTCAGTCTTTTGCTGCGATTTGCATCCAAATGGAGTACTTGCTGTCACTGGTGGAGAAGACGACAAAGCATATGTTTGGTCTGTAGAATCAGGTCAGGTTGTGATGGACTGTGTTGGCCATAAGGATTCTGTTGTTTTTGTTGGATTCAGCTTTGATGGAGCTTATGTAGCCACCGCAGACATGTGTGGTCTAATCAAAGTGTGGAAATGTAATTTGGAAGGAAACCAACAAGAACCTTGGCCTGTAGCATTTGAACTAGAAATTGATGACTTGACTTGGGGTCAATGGCATTTTGGAGCCAGAGTACTTATATGTGGGACAGTTAATGGAGACATTTATGTGCTCAAGATACCTTCGGGGGACACTAAAGTTTTACAAGGTCATAATTTGAGAGTTGAATGTGCTAAGGTGAGGAGAAAACAATATAAACTTATTTATTTATTACGTCATTTATTATACAGAAAAAACAAAAACGCATATAGTAACAAAGAAAACACAAACAAAAGGTACTGCTTATTTCGAACAGAAATTTCTTCCTGCAGACCTTAATACAGGAGACAATAATTACAATAACGGGTTTACACGCACAACAAATAAAAATTATATAATATAAAAAAAACAATATCAAAAACGTTAAATTATTAAAACTAGATAAATACATATTTTGTATATAATACACTTTTTCGACGTCAGCAAAGAGTTACTGGTTATCTGCAAAATCACGATTTTACAAAACAGTGTCTTGAAAGTAAAAACTTGAGAGAATAATATATTTATATCCTAAATATCCTTCAAATATAACATTTTTATATTGCCTCATTGCTCAAAATTGTGGCTGACATGTAACAGACTGAATTTGCTGAGATGAAGTGTAATTAATTGTAGCTAATAAAATGCAGATAACCGGTTACTCTTTGCTGCCATCATTTTGTATTTGCTACTTTATTCATTTATTTATTGAATATGAATTAATTATATAAATTTCTTCCAGCTATTCCAGGATGGTGTACGTCTTGCAGCAGGGTATGAAGATGGTACATTAAAAATTTGGGATTTAAAGACAAGTTCTGTCTTGCACACTGTACCAGCAAATGTCCACCAAATCAGGATCACCGACATCGACACACACCCTGAGAATAACCTCATGGCTTCTATCTCTACAGATGGTAAATATGACGTGTATATACAACCATGTATGGTTTAGTCTAGTTTGCTATAAAATAATTTAAAAGTTAATTAAAACCCTACTTTGAATGATCGGGGAATACCAGTGAGAATACTTCAACCAGTTGATTTCTATGTGTAAGTTTTGTAATACATACATCTTATTATATTTTGTTTGAAAAAATTATATAAAAAACTTACATGTATTAAATATATTATATTATATTAAAATTAATATAAAAATGACAATATACAATTCAATAAAAATGTAAAAATCAAGGAACATTATTTACTCATCCAGGTATATACAGGGTGTCCCAAAACTTAACGTCAAGTGGGCACCGGTAGAGAGGCTAGGTTATGTTAGTTCTGGTATTAATGTTAAAATACAATACCTTAGACGACATTTTTAAGTACTTATCACAAAGGACAATGGCAAAAATTTATATGGGAATATAAATTTTTGTTGGTATAATTTGTATGCGTCTTTTTAAGAAAAATATGTGAAAATATAGAGTTGAAATTCCTTAACAAATTTTGTTTTGGATTTACTACTCCGAGAAGTCTGGAATTAAAGATATTCCAGTTTGAAGTTTTGGAGGTTTTGTGTTACGTAATTGAATAAAATATATTCTGTGTATTATTATATGAAAATAAAGGACAGAAGCCTTAAACAGAGTTAATAGAAGCTGAATGGTGCAGTAGGTTTTGCGACGTTACGAAATTTCAGAAGAAATTATTTTTTGTACTGGTATGGTCAAAAGGCATGAAGTTAAGTCACAACAAAAAAACTGAGTTAATACATGCCACAGGCTATTGCACAGATAACCCAGCACAATATTTTTTGTGAAACGTGCCATCTATCCCTGAGTTCAACAAAACGGAGTCCCTTTGAGCTGACTCCGACTTTTCGTGATATATCCATACCGATAGCCGACTGTTTCCAGCTACTTGGAATGGACCTGTCGCCCAATTTGAACATCGGCAGATACATTGAATCCATGGCCAAAAATGCAGCAAGGAAACTTGGGATCCTTTCCAGGGTGAGGCGTTACTTTACACCGGGACAGTTGCTTCGGCTGTACCAAGCACAAGTCCGATCGTGCATGGAGTACTGCTACCACCTTAGGGATGACTCTGCTACAAATCAACTGGCCACTTTGGATTCAATTGACAACCGTGCCAAGAGGATTATAGGTGTCTCGGAATTAGTGGAGGCGAAGCTGCAGAGCCGTGAACGTGTATTTTACAAGATATATCACGGAGAGTGTGCGATGGAATTACACGATTTAATTCCGCCTTCCCCTTTCCATCACCGGGAGACTAGGCATAGGCTTGGGTTCCACCCCTATGTTGTGGATATTCCGAAGATTCGCACGAAGCGTTACGCTACCATATTTATATGACGAACGGCTATGGATTGGAATTCCCTGCCTGCAGACTTGTTCCCTGAACGTTATAACCTGGGTCTTTTCAAGGCGAGAGTGAATAGGCATTATTTAGGTGTGCATGCTCCATCGTCCACCTCATCATCGCTCTCCATCAGGTGAGATGGAGGTCAAATGCGCACTTATATATCTATCTATCTGTATCTTCTTTATTTTTTGTTATAGTTTCTTAACAATATATAAATAATAGTTGTAGATATCAGTCCGGTTACATACTAATTAGTCATTAGAATTTCTTTTAAATATGGTTTTATTTCCAGACTTAGAAAGATCGCTATTTTAATTTGAAAAACCTAATTAATTTATTTTATTAAAACTTGTAATTAAGACATTTGAAGACGCTAACGAATTCTTTTAACTATGATTTTGCCATTGTTCTTTTGAAATATTGCAATTTTTTTAACATAATCCTAAATAGCTTTACTATTTATCGCAGTCATAAATCAAAGAAGCAGAGCCTTTTACATTGCCATAAAATTGCCTGCTTATCGGTATTCTACAGGATATATCACGAAGTGTGCGATGGAATTGCATAATTTGATTCCGCCTTCCCCGTTTCATCATCGGGGGAGTAGACGTGGGCTGGGATTCCAGCCCTATGTTGTGGATATTCCCGAGATTCGCACGAACCGTTTCGCTTCCAAATTCTCTCGCCAACGTGGAAGCGAAACGCTTCATGCGAGGAAGTGGAATTCCCTACCTGCGGACTTATTCCCCAAACGCTGTAACTTGGACCTTTTCAAGGCGAGAGTAAATAGGCATTATTTAGGTGTGCATGTTACATCGCCGACCTCATCATCACTTTCCATCAGGTAAGGTGCAAGTCAAATGCGCACTTATTTTTTATAAAAAAAGAATGAACATTGTTAGTTTAGTACAAAAAACAAGCAAGGTCTAGAGTATCGATTTTGAACATTTTTAAAAATATTATCACTTAATTTTATATTTACCAAAACTGACATACTTCTCGCCCGGTGCCCGCTCGTCGTTGAGTTTTGGGACGTCCTGCATAATGACCTATTTCTAATACGTAATATAATATTATGTAATTTATTTCAGGTAAAGTGATTCTGACAACATCAACCAACGGAAAAGTTGTAGTACAAATGAACACAGAAGTGGAACTAGAAACTGTAGCTTTTTCAAAAGATCCTCAAATGGGTTATCTTGCAATAGGTAAACATCGCGTACTATAAATAACAAGTATTGAATTTCTTTTCAAAATATATATAAATATAACTACATTTTTTAACACTATAATAACAAAATTTTCGCAGGTACTCTAATTGGTGCAGTAAGTATCTGGGATCCAACTACACAAATAATACGACATGAATGCGCTAAATCAGACGACGATACTGCTGCCGGAGTCATTAAGATGTTTTGGGTTAAAAACCACCTCGTCACCGGATGTCTTGATGGCTCTATACGCGTCTACGAGGGCAGGTCGGGACAGGGCGTACTCACACTCACGGGACACACTTCAGAAATACTAGACATATGCTACAATGAAAAACAAAGCCTAATACTAACCACCTCAGATGATGGTACTGCTAGAATATTTAAATACGAAGTAAATACAGAAAAAGATTAATTTTTTACACTGGTTTTATTGTAAACCCTGTGAGCTTATAAAATCTATTTATTCAACAAATTCTTAACTTTGTACAATTTCCTTACAAGTAATAATGGATAACACAATCTTATGTATGACAATGAATTATATTTTTTTATTGTTTTGGTCATTAGTTGTGTTTTATAATTTCCTACTTTAAAACCTTAAAACGTATTATTTATTTAGAGTAGTACAGACTTATAAAAACACTGTCATTGACCCCTAACTAGTGTAATATATAATAAATGAATTGCCTATATCCTGTGTCGTTTAGTTATAAGACTATTTCTCGTGTAAGGAAGACAATGTTCTCTCTGTATCACTGTGTCTCTATATCGGTATCACAAGTGACATTTTATTAACAACGTCGCATTATTTTACGTATTATTAGGTGCAACTAAAAACTATGCCAAAAGTACACGTGGTTTAATAAGGTGCGACAGAGATGACAAAACAGTTCAAACTTGGCAGTGAATTCTCATAGGCATTTGGAAAGCTGAATGTGTGTTTGTGTCAAATGCAAACGGTTGGTTTTACAACGCTTCTCGACAGCACGAAAGTTGTTTTAAATATAAGTTATACGACCGGTGGCGGCGACGGCCGACGAGCGGCAGATGCCCGCGCCAGCGCCGCCGGGGAGCCTGGTTAACTCGCAGTTAAGCAATGTGAATAGTAAAGTTGGCACGCGCAAACGTTTCTTTGTCGCCCCACCGCGTATTATACTTCGAAATCATCAAATACAATTAAGATAAATCCGGCCTCTTTCTACACATTTACCATCACAAATTTATTCTCTGTTTATTGTATATAAAATACAGTTTTTATTAAAGTTACTTTGAAGTGATGAATATTTTAACCTATCCGTAAGTTACAAACATATTGTACTGTATCAACTAGAGTTATTGTTTTATTCGATTCGAATGATTCGAAACTTCTCAATTGATGGGGATTTTATGGTGTTCCCACGTGGTGTTATTTGGCACTACCTACTGTTAGCAGTCAGAATGATGCAATGTTTGTATACCGGTGGCTCAGAAATTCAGTAGTTTGAATACTAACTAACATGTGGTCCTTCATTTAACTAAACCAATATTGAAATTCGTGCACTTGTGAAAGTTTAGTTAGTAGTTTGAAGTGTATCTGAAAAATATATTAAAAATGGCAAAAGTCGCAGCTTCGGAAGGATTGACGCCGAAGGCGATGGAGGTGGGAGGCGGAGAAAGCTGTGACAAGGAGTCGAGCGAAGGAGTTCGATTGAAGAAAGAATTGGGACTTACGAATGGAGTGGCAATCATAGTAGGGGTAATTGTCGGGTCAGGGATCTTCGTGTCTCCCAATCTCGCACTCAAACATGCCGGGTCCAAGGGTATGGCCCTCATCGTGTGGGTACTATCTGGCTTCCTGTCTATGATCGGTGCACTCTGCTATGCAGAATTAGGTAAGTTTATCAAGATTTAGCAGTCGTAAAGTGTCATCCACTTTCCGTTTTAATTAACCTGAGACCCGGGTCATAAGAATTTACATCAGCATCTACTAATGAGATCAAAATAAATTGGCGTGCCATATCGATTTTTGTTATCTAAAATTTTCATTAAAGCTTGTTACGATTTACATATCTCTACAGGTATGATATTCTAGGAATATACTTACCTACCTATGTGTTTATCGGCCCTTTAAAATTGATGAACTGATATAGTGCAAAAAAAATTAATTAATTAATTAATAATAAATGTTATTAAATAACACATTAGTTTTTGGTTAACCACTAAATCTCATCGTAACTCATCAGATTATGTCGCAGACTCTGTAAATTATTTAATTAATAAATACTATACACTTACAAATATGAAATAACACGCCACTGAAGATCATTGTTTGTTTTTCATCTTTATAATAATAATAGTATAACGATGTCTGGATCGTCGTTATTACATTAAATTTCAATTTTTCTCCCATTTCAATATCCATAATACCTTATTCGCACTATGGCACTTATAAAAATTGCCACAACGCGTTGTGACTAAATAAAAAATGCCACAAACATCATTCCGTTTCCTAACGATGGAATATTACTTAACTACATTGTTTTTCAAATGAATGTTGAAAGTCTGATTAATATTTGTAATGGGAAAATAATACAAAACCTGAAGAAACTATCGCAAATAGTATATTTTAAAGATTCAAAACGAAAATTATGTAAATTTTACTGAGTGGCGTTCTGCGTCAAGTATGTATGAATTTGGACCTTTTGGAACGTCGACAAATGCAAGACTTTCTTCTGTTACTGCCTAATCGTTGGCATTCTCGATCGTAATTAACCTGCAACATACGTCGAAATTGACTGGCCTAAGCCTAATTAAAGAATAATAATAATAACGTTCAAAATAGGTACCTATGCTTTTTTTTTTATTAAAAAATATGTGCCCATTTGCGATCCTTCTCACCTGGTGGAATGTGACGATGTGGTCGATGATGGAGCATGCACACCTAAATAATGCCTATTCACTCTCGTCTTAAAAATGTCTAAGTTATGCCGTTCAGGGAACATGTCTAACTCATTTACTTATTTAGTTCGTATGCCTTAAGGTGCAGCATAGAGGGTCAAAATAAATTTATTTATCACCATGTATTTCAATGTATCTACTGTAACCTATGTTGACGAATAAATATATTTTAATTTGAATGTCTGCTGGTAGGGAATTCCAGTTTAGCCAATTAAATGTGAAAGAGAAACGCTTCGTGCCAATCCTTGTAATATCCACAACATGAAAAGGGGTGACGTGAAAAGGGGAACACGAAATGCCTTAATATAGGCAATCTAATTGTAATAATACAACACTGTTCCACAGCTCGTTCTTGACTCAAAAGTACCTTACATACACCATCGCTCTTAGACGACTGTTATCATGAATAATTACTTAGTTAGAGGACTATCTATACTATTTTTTACCGCGCATACATAAAGACGTTAATGTTGTAAAATTCGCTTCACTGCCATGTGTAGTTTGGGGTAAAAATGTAGAACGATTTAGACCACCCAAAGTTGTGTACTGTTTGTTAGTGTTAGTAACAAATTACACAGAATGTGGTAATTTAATTATTGCTAGCAACACCAGAATTTCCTCTTCTCTATCGCTATTCAAACGTTGTAATTCTGTGCGTGTTTAATAAACTTTAAAAATGCACGTCATTAACATAAAAAATGTCAGGGTGTTTCAATCTCATACCGTCGTAGGTGAGTGATTGAGTGAGTTTTTATGGGGCCAAATGAACACACGATAATAAAGGACAACTCTTGATTTTCCTGCGGAAATCCTTATCGTAGAACTAACAACTCGCTTATACTCAATAATAACCACGTTTTGATTGTTCCAAACACAAATTCTTTTAGTGCCTGCTACAATTTTTTAATAAGGTTTTATAACTGTTTATCTACACACATATCATAAACTCTCTATATATATGTTCAAAAACCGCAAATTACGACCAGCATAAGGCTCAATTCACACTGGCGCAGAGTCGAAGCGTCGCGTCGCTTCGCGTCCTGTTTTTCAACAACACCGCCTGGCGACGCGCGACGACGTTCGCATTAGTGCGCCGGGAGCACAGTGTGGTCGGCGTTTGACGCCTCACTGCGCCCAAGTAACGCGCGTCGACATTCGATTCCATATTTGCATAATACTAATTTGTACCTTAATAATGGGAAAATAGAGATGAATATGCTATAGGCGAAAAGTATGACGTATCGCGACGGTTCGACTCTGCGCCAGTGTAAGTTGTGACTAAAGATAAACTGTTTTGTTAGAACAAATTTCTTATCTGTGAAAATGTTATTATTGCTTCAACATCGAATTCGATGTTATTATTACATTCAAATTTCGAACATCTCTGAAAAACAAAATAATTTGATTTGACCTCAATTCTAACATCAGTCGAGATGAAGTTTTATTCGAAATGAAATGTCAATAGCAAACAATTTTGACAATTTCACGTTACTTGAATTCGAATGATATGATAGTTGGGGCCGATTCTAGTTTATCTATGAATCAAAAATAAAAACTGCGATTGTGTGATATGCGTGAGAAAAGTATTTATTTGCCGCCATTTCGCCAGTCGGAACACGCGGTTCCTGAACACATCACAGAGAGCTTATAATATGTGTGTAGATAAAGCAGTGTATGTAACTGTACATAATCAGGTATTAAAACACTCATGTGATGTTTTTTGATGTACACACCCACACTCGTATTTTAATGCCTTTTATTATGTAACAGTCACATAAACTACTATTATTTCACACAGGCATTTATAACACAACTCTTAAAGTTATGGGAGTTGATTGGTTTGCTTATGTTGTGAGAGAACCCGCCGTATTTTTTAAAATTAGATTTATAATAAGTATTGGAAATGGCGTCCACCATAAACATCCAAGACAAGTCACGCTAAATCAGATTTTTTTTCCTAAATTGTATTGTATTACGTTATGACTGAACCGAAGACAAAAGTTATAGAATCATTCGGCTCAAGTGTGTGCACTTTTGTAATTTAGGGCTTCACATAAAAGTATTACTTTCAAGTAACTCATTTATTTGGCTCTAAATTTAAATAAAAACTTAAAACACACGGATTTTTTCCCATATATAAACGATTTAAAATCAGAACGCGTTCACTTGACTCGCATTGCGGAAAATTGCGCACCCTTATGGGGTAGGTAGAAGCACATGGAGTATTTCAGTATTGTCATTGCATTGCTTGCTCATGGTCAAAATAAATGTAATAATAATAAAAAGTATTCTTTATTAAAAAACCTAAATATGTTCGAATTGTATTGTCGATATTACTTACTATATGTAATATAAAAATATTAAAAAATAGAAAAAAATAATACCTTATCACCTTAGAAACTGGTGTAAGTTCGGGTTTTTTTCTTATATAATTCAGTAGCATGACGTTATGACACTGAAATATAACATAAAAGCATGTTAAAATATTGTACAAAAAAATAATAGACGAAAACATTACTAGCGGGGCAATGGTACGCATGCGCACACTTAGGTACCCGCGCGGAATTGCAAATGAATGATCGCAAAATATTTGAAACCGAATATAACCTGAAACTATTTTTTATAAATATAACGTAAAAACATAATTGAAAAAAAAAACAAGTTTTAAAAACGATTACGAGATAAAACATACAGGTGCTCATGTACACTGTTTTTTGTGATTCAAAAATCTGGATGTAGACAACGAAAACAGATTTTTGCTTAAAACAGTTGCCTGAAATCTGAACTAATTAGTCACTTGAGAGCCTTAACTGACCCAAACAAACTGCCTACTCCTCTTTATCCGTGCCGGTGACATACATATAAAGCTCCTGCACAGACTTACTCACTGCGCTCAGTAATACCAAATGACTCTACTCCTAGTTAATTAATATCTGTTTCAATATCGATATTGAAACAGATATTAAGATATCGATATAAAGCTCGAACTTTACGTTTTAATTTATTTGAATAGATAAAAGTAGTTTTTGTTGTTTTTACTCATTTACTTCTTTTTTCCCTTTTCAATATGGCACCGTTTACAATAATTGCCATGAGTGTCGTTGATGTCATTTCTATGATAACGAGCTACACGGCATTAAGCACCTGCCAAACCATTTAACGGTTTGATGCGTTCTATACCATCTCATTTTTTACGGTCACTCGATTCTTTCAAGACGTAGTTACATACAAATACATGTGAAATAAATACCCCTTTTTATCATAGTCGGATAAATAAAGAAATGTATGACTTTGTAATCCAATTCTTATGCCTTAATCCATCAATCGCTACACGGACAACGTAAACAATTTCAGGTACAATGATCCCCAAATCTGGTGGGGATTACGCATACATCGGCGAAGCATTTGGAGCTCTCCCGTCTTTCTTGTATTTGTGGGTAGCGCTACTGATTCTAGTTCCCACTGGAAATGCTATCACGGCGCTGACATTCGCACAGAACATCCTCAAACCTTTGTGGCCTGAATGCGAACCGCCCATCGATGCAGTAAGACTTATTGCTGCTGTTGTCACGTGTAAGTATTTCTTTGCTTTTGATACTTTAAATAAAAAGGAATAACTTTGATTCAGAACCTCGCCATGTTAAGGAATTTACAATAATCGCTATTTAGCTACCCATCACTAAAAGTTACTCGTCAACCTGTAAATACTCCAGATTTCATGACATAGATAGTTAGAATATGTATAACTCTACATAAGCGCTTTTTATGTACGTATATTGTAGAGAAACAATAGCTTCTAAAGTTGTATGATTATGTATAATATATAAATATTGAATTCAAATTCTGGTACAGCTATGCCAATTAGTAATATAAGGTCAAAATATCTGCAAAGTTTAAATCATCACATTCTTTCACTATCACTTGTTTAACTCTAAGTTTATTACAAGTATTGCAATAAATGAATGAATGAAAGGAACCTATCGCTTTCTTGTTAATTTTTTTCTCCATCCATTAATTGGAAATTAGTAGAAAAAGAAAACTCAATAGGTATAAAATACATTGTCTATTCAATATTCAATGTAATTTGAACTGTCGAATTTATTAATTCCATAGATAGAAGAAACGTATAAGATAGTAGAGTATGGAACTCGGTCTGACGTGAAGTTAATACGTAGGAATGTAAGATGTTTTCTTTGTCTATTATTCAGTCTAAGAAGAAGGTACTTTGTTGAAGCCAAATTTACTTTTTAAGAATTTTTAAAATGTTATCGTCAATTTCGTTTGCACTCTACACACATCGATGCAACTCTTTCGCATCTGAAACCAGAACCTGAACTCATAAATTAAGAAACGAGTTTTTTTGTGAAATTCGAAAAGCCGTTACTTTCTCTTTAAAATATATCTGCGTTTTGGATTCCAAGAAAAGATTCACCCGCATTTTGTCTAATCTATGTATATGTCCTTTATTGATTCCATTATTATTCATCCTATTGCTATAATTTTTTTGTGAGTAATGACCACACCCGCTCCACTGTCATGGTCAGGCGTGTCGCTTACCACCAGGCGCACGACTTGTCCCAGCACTTGGTATCATAAAAAAGTTTCTGAATATTCTGGAATTACGGCCATCTAATCCGATTGCAATAAAACTTTTATGACTTGCTGTGCTCACGCAAAAGTTTTTAAAGTATTAGATCCCATTACTTGCCACGGGCCCTCCAAGTATAGGCGTGAGGCCATAGTCCGCCACGCAGCCCAATGCGGTTTAGCCCAATAGGTATTTCACACGGTTTTCATGGATGCCGAGTAATGTTTGATTTAAAATTAAAGATATGTTCTGATTTCTGTATTGTAAGTATTTCTAATTGAAATGTTTACATGTTCCTAAAAAGCGAATTAAGTTACCATTTGTTGAAGACCATTAATTAAATCATCGCCTGTTCCTTAAAAAGTATTCCTAGTGTTTTCATTTAGGTACTATATTCCTGCTTTTATTGAGTAGGTCATTCAACTCATAAATCTGTGTGTTCTCAAGTCAAGCCCCTTATGGGACCAGGATATACGCACACGTGATATTTTATATCAGAATGCTTCCTATGTATCATTTTAAGAAGGAAATCATATACGAGGTCTCAAGAGTGTCTCTAGGACACAACAGGCACGGAACTGGGAATAGTTTGAGGCCCTAATTTGAATATAGTAATGTACAATCTTGTAAAATAGCTGAGAAGGAAAGCATACGAGGTCTCAAAGAGTGCTTCTAGGCGGTAACAGGTACGGACCTAGGACTATTTTGAGGCTCTAACGTGAACATAATAATAGTTATTATCATATAAAAACCTGGAAAATCAACTGAAATATTCGTTACAAATAATAGTTTATGGCAATAATAAATAAAATCAGATTAGTAAAAACATGAAAACAAGGCATTAAATGAAAATTAATACGTACAATAAATTACCAGTTAGTGTACCTGACTTGGAAAGTCTGCATTCAAAGAAAAACTATAAAAATCACGCTTTTTATGAAATCAACGAATTTGGATGGATTAAACTTTAAATGAATTATTGCTTAGGTACTTAAAAAATCGTGATCAAAAAAGTTATTTTTCGATTTGTATTGAAACAGTTTATTTAATTGAGTAAGTAGGTATATAAGTGCTTACTTTTACTATCAGTTTTGGCAAAGGTATGTCACTAACTATAACTGACCCTATAACAATGTAAGTGCTTAATATAATCTCGGTTCAGTACTGTTTGTTGCCGCGTCTTTATTGCGCGGGTTGGCTACGGCGCGGCCGGCCGTGCTGATTGCGCCTGACAGGATAATGAGGGCTTCCTCCCGCATCGCGCTGACACACACTCGTGCAGAATTATCTTGCAAATACACACCTACTATAAGGGCACTTAATCACTTGTGACCAACCCTCGCGCCTGGTTTACACTAGCTAATACAAAACATACATATTCATCGAAATATTTGCTAACGTTGAATCCATATGAAGCTTAAACTGTCGAGATGATATATTTATTCATTCAAATTGAATACGTAAGTCGTCTGTCGTCTCCGTCAGCCTTGAAGTCTGCTCCTCTTAACACTCGAGTTCATTGTTATCCGTTTATCCGGATACCTATGTCGTAGTAGCATAGTACCACCTATCTATTGTTGGCTAACGACACGAATAAAATCAACACAATTCTCATCTTTTTATCAAGAAAATTGTGTGGTAGTAATGCGTTTTGTAATTTGTTTTCGTATGGTGTTTTAATATTTCATTATAACAAAACAAAAAATACATCGATCAAGTCGCCATTATTATTTCTTTTATTTGAATTGATTTGGTTTAATTGAAATTCATTGCGTATCGAATGTTATATTGCAATGTAATAAAAAGGTTTGTTCTCAAATTAAAAATTATTGATGTAAGAACATTAGTAAGAATGAAACAATTTGTTTCGTATCTAAACCGCGTATATTTGTTTTTTTTTTTCAAACAAACCAACGAATATGTACGAAAAGTATGGGACTTGTAAGCATACAAGTCCCATAATCACAGCTGACTCGGTTCACAGCAACTTGAATGCCAAAAAGTTGGTTTCATTTTCAAAGTGTAGCGAATAATGGCGAAAACTTAAGAACTCGAAACATTAGTAAGGACAAAAAATTACAATATTAGTATGTTATAATAATATATCGAGCCATTACCGCCGACTTAGTGTAAACGACAAAGAGATCGTTTACAGAAGAGGGTTCATTAAAATATTTCTACATATAAATCTAATACCAAACTGAATTTTATTATATAGGGTTTTTCAACAAGACTTTTGTTTTGTAAATCTAAATAGAACAATAAATTTAGATGACAATGATTCAAATTTTTAGTGTGTTAAATAAAGTAAGGTTTGGCAATTATGAATGAAAAATGATATCTGATAAATGTTCACCATGACCACAGTTACAGATGTCGATCCTTTCATCAAAGATTTTAATCACTTTTTGACAAAATGGCGGGTCTATTTCGTTAATCACTTTACGAATGTTGAGTTTTCAGGCTGTAATCGATTCGATTGGCTCCGTATAAACTCTGTCTTTAACATAATCCCATAAAAAATAATCCAACGGTGTTAAATCACATGATCGAGCTGGCCACTTAACGGCTGAATTTCGTGAAATTATGCGATCGGGAAATTTGGTTTGCAATAAATTAATTGTTTCGGTGGCTGTGTAACTTGTGGCACCGTCTTGTTGAATCCACATGTCAGTGATATCCATATCATAAAGAATAGGCCAAAATTGAGTTGTTAACATCTCGATAGCGTAATCTATTGAACATAACCGCATTTCCAGCCGAATTTTCGAAAAAAGACGGCACAAGTCACACAGTCACCGAAACAATGAATTTATTGCAAACCGAATTTCCCGATCGCATAATTTCACGAAATTCAGCCGTTAAGTAGCCAGTTAGATCACGTGATTTAACACCACTAGATTATTATTTATGGGGTTATGTTAAAGACAGAGTCTATACGGAGCCAATCAAATCGTATACAGCCTTAAAACTCAACATTCGTGATTAACGAAATAGACTTACCTATTTCGGCCGCCAAGCGGTAATGTTAGCATTACTGTGTTCCGGTTTTGAACGGTAAGGGTGCTGGTGAAATTACAGGCACATAGGACTTGTCAACTTATGTCTCAGGGTAGTGGGGTGCAGTGGCAGTGCCCTTCAGATCTTTGCGATTTAAAGTTCTGAGTGGCACTGCAGCTGTTATGAATAGACGTGTAGCTTACCATCAGGTGCACGACTTGTTCGTCCCGTCACGTAATATTATATATAAAAAAACAAGTTTTTTGCGACATTGTTCGGAAATCATAAACAAGATGTTTTTAATAAACAACGAAATAATTATTACGTCGGTTGCGATAACAAGTGGTGTCGCTTACGTTATCATTTTTTAATACTGATTCTGTCGGTTCCACTCAAATATTAAAAAAAACTATTGATATAACGACAAACTTTACTTTTGCTATAGTTTCTATTGATGTAATTTTAGCGAGAAATGTCGACGCACAAGGGCGCGTTGTATTAGATTAAAATTATTTGCAATAAAAATGCTCTTTAGGTAGAGATGTCGCTTACGATAAGTCGGCTCGATATTATTTAAAGGCTGTCAAGTTGTTCTTGATGCTGGCTGTAGTTATCGGATTTTGATTCAATGTTCACGTTTACAAGAAATAAGAAACTAGCTGTCTATAACTATTTTGTAATTTCACATATCGAATAACACTTAACAATAATATATTGCCCACGAGTAATAAAAAAATCACATCTTATTTCAGGTCTTCTAACAGCAATCAACTGTTTCAACGTAAAATGGGTGACGCGAGTACAGGATACTTTCACGGCAGCCAAGATGCTTGCTCTGTTAGTTACATTCTTTGCCAGTCTTTGGTACTTATTCTCAGGCCACACAGAGAATCTTCAATATATGATGAAAGGAACAAACATCAACCCTGGTAATGTCGCTATAGCATTCTACACCGGCCTTTTCTCATACTCGGGGTGGAATTATCTTAACTTTGTTACAGAAGAATTGAAAGAACCGTATAGGTGAGTTTAAATGCGTTTTTTTTTTTCAAAAACTTTCCTAGAACTAGCAGTATAAAGACAAGTAACTTCATGCAAACGTAATTGCGCGCTTTGTATGTGTGCGCGCCTGACGCGCGCCTAGCACGAACGCACATATTCGCATAATCTCGCGATGCACTTGCGTTGCATAGCACTGGTCGTCCTAATGGGTATTTCAGTATTATGCGACTATGTGCGTCCGTATACGGCGCGCGGCGGACGCGCGCACATACAAACTGCCATATTGCTTTGTACGGAGTTACCGTACATTTCTTGTTTTACTGTGGCCTTAATGTTAGGGCTTTAGACCAAATCGATTATTTCGTAACGTGATAGACGTAAGCACTAAAGCGTGCTCTGTCAGCATACCTATTTGGGCACGATTTTATAAAGCAATCAGTTCTATATCAACTGCACAACAGTAGCGTAAAGGTACCTCTAAAATTGCAACTATAGCGTTTTTTGCTACTTTTGACTAAGAATGAACCAATGACTGTATGCTTTACATCAAAAGATCATTATTTATTTCCAGTTGTGTCCATGAAGCATAAAACGTTGAAATGTTATTTTAGTCGGCCTTGATTAAAGTAAATAGGCGTCAAGGTATGAAATTGCCGTATTATATAAGAGAACGAATACATACAAAAAATGTTTAAGAAAAAAAAAAATATTTAATCAAAATAATGTGCACCCATGATACTAAATCATCTTGTTGGAAATTCATTTGCTGTAAAATAATGAGGAACAGGAGTCCACAAAAAACACATTCTAGTGATTTACAGGAAATAAATTTATTTGTAGATAAATAACTAAATTCCGGAAAAAAATGGTGGTTGGTAGGAGCCAAGTCAGATAAATATGGAGGGGGACAAGAGCGTCAGATGCAACTCCTGTAAGGTCCGGCACCCACTGACTCGGTAGGGGATCCTTCGGCGTCTTACATAGGAATTTTAAAAAAATGCTTTTTTTTCTCCAAAGTGTCAATTAATATTATTGAAGTTGACATAAAACCGAATTTAATAGTTTTACCTACTTACTTCACCGCTCCAATATAACAAAAAGTGGTCTTAAGAAATTTCAAAAGAAATTTCTCAATACTGTTAAGAGCTGTAGAGCTAAAACTTATTAAGTATTGTTACGATAGTGATTCCATGTCATTTGACGTTGACCCCGCCGTTCTCTTTGAAAAGATAAGGTTTAATAAAAAAATGCAATATTAAACAACTTTAATCCATTAAGTTAATGTATTTTTATAATTATAATAATAATAACATTGATATTGGTCTAAGTTATAACTTTTTTATCACACTTTTCTTGTTTTAAATCAGTATAAGAAAATGTATAATTTAAGCTAATATCTAAATATGTTATAATATTATTATAATTATAAAAATACGTTACTGAGTGGATTAATATTGTCTAATATTGCATTTTTCTTAGTGATTCAAAGCACTGATTACAAATTACCTATCTCTGCCGCCAAGCAGTGATGTGAGCATTACTGCGTTTTGGTTTTGAAGACTATCTAAGGGTTCTGGTGAAATTAGAGGCACATAAGACTTGTCAACTTATGTCTCAGGGCGACTGACGCAGTGGCAGTGCCCCTAAGATCTTTCTTCTTCCGACCCGTCACTTGGTATCATACAAAGAAACTTATATTACTTTTATTAGACTTAATTAGTATGACATAAATGATTCTGTCGTAAAAAATGCGACTTCCTCAAAAATACCATTTTTTTATACAAATGTAAGTGCGTATTTGACCTCCACATCACCTGATGGAAAGTGACGATGAGGTCGACGATGGAGCATGCACATCTAAATAATGCCTATTCACTCTCGCCTTGAAAAGGTCTGAGTCAAGACAGGGAAATTCACTCCATAGCCGTTCGCCATATGAATGAGGTAGCGTAACGATTCGTGTGAATTTTTGGAAAATGCACAACATACGGGTGGAATCTAAGCCTACGTCTAGTCCCTAATAATATATAAAATAATGGAAAGGGGAAGGCGGAATTAAATCGTGTGATTCCTTCGCACACTCTCCGTGATATATCTTGTAAAATACAGATAAGCAGCAAACTTTACGGCGGTGTTCAAGGCTCTGCAGCTTCGCCTCTACTATTCCGATAAGCCTCTTGGCACGCTTGTCTATTGAATTCAAAGTGGCCAGTTGGTATGTGGCAGAGCCATCCCAAAGGTGGCAACAGTACTCCATACACGATCGGACTTGCGCTTGATAGAGCTGAAGCAACTATCCCGGTGCAAAGTAACGCCTCCATGCCAAGCTTCCTGGCTGCATTTTAACCATAATTAACCACCAAACTTTATTTCGTTCCAGAAACCTGCCACGAGCGATTTGCATATCCATGCCAGTGGTAACACTCGTATATACTCTGACGAATGTAGCGTACTTCGCGGTACTGACCAATGATGAGATCCTGTCCACCGAAGCTGTCGCCGTTACCTTCAGCAAGAAAATCCTCGGTGTCATGTCATGGATTATGCCATTGTTCGTCGCTTTATGTACCTTCGGGTCTTTGAATGGAGCTATATACGCCTCGTCTAGGCTTTTTTTCGTGGGGGCTAGAAACGGCCATTTGCCCTTGGCTATATCTATGATCGACATTCGTAGACTTACGCCTGTGCCTTCACTCATATTTATGGTAAGATTCATTTTTTATATATTTTTTTTATATAATCGTATATTGTACAGAGCAGACACAATTCGCAATTTAACAAAAGGAAAGCACACAAAAGGAGCTGCTAATTTGTTAAAGAAAATCTTCCCGCAGACCTAAGTACAGGACATAGCAACTGAAATAAATGGACTTGCGTGCACAACAAAACAAAAATCATATGACAATAGTAGTTTATGTGACTGTTACATAATGAAAGGCTTTAAAATACGAGTGAGGGTTTATGAAACGAGCCGACAGACGAATTTCATAAAAACATCTCACGAATGCTTTAATGCCTAATTATGTACAATTACACATACTGCTTTATCTACTCACGTGATGTGTTCAGGAACCGCATGTTACGACTGGCGAAATGGCGTCAAATAAAAACTTTTCTCACGTACGTCACACAACCGTAAGTTTTATTTTTAATTCATAGACAAACTAGAATCGGCCCCAACTATCATATCGTTCGATATCAAGTAACGTGTGAAATTGTCAAAATTGTTTGCTATTGACATTTCATTTCGAATAAAACTTCATCTCGACGTATTCGATATAAGAATTGAGGTCCAATCAAATTGTTTTGTTTTTCAGAGATGTTCGAAATTTTTATGTAATAATAACATCGAATTCGATGTTATTAAGAAGCAATAATAACATTTTCACATATAAGAAATTTGTTGTAACAAAATAGTTTACCTTTATGCTGGTCGTAATTTGCGGTTTTTGAACACATTATAGAGAGTTTTGATTTATAGAGAGGTTTTGATATGTGTGTAGATAAATATATTTAAAATACATATTTTAAATATAATAAGTAAGAAATGAATGAATGCTCATTTTTAACAGATATGTAAAAAGGAAGAGGTGCGGTTGTTTTTTTTTGGTGTGTGTAACGCGATCACTCCGACATTTGTGGATCTATTTCGACGATTCTTTTTTTGTTAGAAAGGGGGACAAATTCCCAATAGTTCCACGTATTCAGTTCCACATGAAATAATTGTAAGTAGTGGGAATAAAGAACCTCAGTAGTAGTGGTCTTATTAAAATTTGAAGAAAATGCTCGACCTCTCAAGGTGGCAAATTTGGGGATGGATCCAGTTTATTGCACACAAACTTTCCATTAACCAATTTTTTTATAAAACTTGGCAAATACATATTATTTCACAAACTTTTTAGGTCGGTTCGTTTTTATAAAAAAAATTCTAATTATAAAAATACCTAACGCTTTTAAAAAAAACCTTCGCGAACAGTAGTAGGAAGTGTATTCCAAAGTCTGTCTGCATGAAAAGTGACGAAGTGAGAATAGAAATTGTATAACAAATCAAATGATTGCAAATAACTTTATACGCAACACGACTAGGCCATGTCCAATTTGTCAGCGTTTATACATAGTGCACAGAATAAAAAAATGTTTTTTTTTTGCTCGATATTACTTTTTTTTATAGGTTAAGTTTAAAAATTACCCGTCTGTCAGTCTTACATTCCTTTATAGGTACTAGTTTTATCGACTGGTTGGAAGTTGGAAAACTCAATGATGAGTTAATTTATGATATATTTTTTTTAGAAATGCGATAAAAAAATAAATATAAAAAAAATAAATTAAATATTATCCTATATACCCATATGATTAGTCGACAAAAATAACTATCGAGTTCTTACGTTTTTGCGATTGTCACACATAGGAAATGAAACATTTTTCCGGATTTAAATTGCGTAAATTTATTTTTTCAAAGAAACCTACGTTTCGGGCCCTTTACAGGTCCCATGGTCACGGTTGACGAGGTGGTACAGTCTTCAGTATTCAGTATTAATATTAGACATAACTGGTTGACATATGTCGGTGTATATGCATACATTATAACGCTTCTAACGGTTTTTTTTCTGGTACCTGGTTAGTTTTACAGAAAATAGTGTTTACTCTTATTAAAAACGTATTAAATAATGACAATGTTTTTAAATTATATTGTAAAATGTGCAAATTGAGTGCGTCAAAATTTTAAAAGACTAGTAAACGCTTAACTGGCAGCAAAGTAATATCTAAATACGCAATCAAGCTCGATTAAGTACGTACGTAAGTACCTGTACAATCTTTTTTAAATTGAACGTTGTGGACGGATATCGTGAATAGACGGATAAATCTGTTTAAATATCAATCTATAAACATATAAAAGAATAATAGAAATTAAAATCCTTCAGCTTTTTACCGGTAGGTTGAACTAAACGAGTTTAGTTCTTGTACCTTACGTTAGATGGCGCTACATGTATAGATTCATTTATGCACGGAACCTACCTTAACATTGTATATTAATTGAATATATACGTGCTGTTTATCGTAGTACATAGTTTGTATTGATGTTATATTAAAATTCAAAAAGTATTTATTTTTATAATCTATAGATAGTGCATAATAGCGGCTATTAAAACACTTGAGTAAACTAAAGGTCATACGAAATTGCGTACTTAACCATGGCAACCTATATATTTAGATAAGTTACAGTCTTTAAATTTATAATAAGAACATAAGAAAATATTTCATTATTATTGTGAATGATGAGGCGAATGGCTTTAATCACGTATTTAAAAACGAGTTAAGTATTTACTTAAATGAAATTAATTTAATTACAACAAGGTCTATAACATATAAATTCTGGATACTATTTTTCAAAATGCAAGTCTTAGGGTCATATTCTAGAACTCTACTCAACTCTCAAGTCAGGACTTGAATATGATTTAAAGCATTAGAAATCATACTGAAATCCTTGCCATTAGGGTCGTATTTCCAATGCTTGAAATGGTACTCAAATCCTAACTTCAGCATTGAGTAGATTTCTGGAATACGACTCTGAGAGTCAGTCGAGTTTTACGGAAAGAGATTTAAATAGTATTGACACTCTTTGAACCGCTAAATCCTTAGAGTTAAATTATCAGCCTATACAGAATTATTAAGGTATACAATTATCTATTAAGTACGATTACGACGTCCTAAAACTGAATGCACACGTTTTCATGGAACACATTGGTATGTTTAAAAATAGAATGTCCCTTTACCAAATATAAAACATCAAAAACCTTAACAAGTTACAATGTTCTAGCGAACTCATGAACAAAACAAAAAAAAATATAATGTCAAATATTATTATTATAAAATAGGATAAGAATACAATCTTCAACTTTTATAAAAGTCGAATAACACCGCAAGTTTGATTTTAGATAATAGTTCTGTAGAAAATATACTCCCGAACAAATAATTCGAGTCACCTTCCATTGTCAGTATTAATGCCCTAAGCTTATAAAAAAGTGTTTCATTCATCAAAAACTATTTAAGCATTTGGAACCTGGTATACTAAACGTCATTTCCGTATTCCGTATAAATTTGAGGGCAATACACAACATCGAGTATATAACCAGAAAGAGAGACGAAACATCATTTAATTTGTATGAAAACTATTCTGCCAAATCATTACTGTGACAACTGCGCTCCGATTGGTCAGCCCGGATCAAATTCAAATTCAAATTCAAAATAATCTTTATTTCATAGGTAAGCATTATTACACTCGAAATCATCACAATGGTTAAACTCTACCGCTCATTCGTAAGGCAGATTCCTCTGAGAAGACTAAGCAAGAAACTCTAGGGGTTGCTCTTTGTAAATAACATTTACAATTTTTTTTTTTATTTGAAACATCAGAGATCGAGACTACCTCCATGAGCTAAACGGTTTACTAGCACGGATTTTTATCATCCAAGTACGCAGAAGTTGTATAATAAATAACCTTCAGTATAAAGTTTTTGTTTCACTATAGTTTTAAACCTCGAGAAAGGCAAATTTTTATATCAACCGGAATCTTGTTATAGAAGCGTATACATTGTCCCTTAAATGATTTTTTAACTTTGTGAAGACGACTATCAAGAAAAGCTAGTTTATTTTTATTCCTCGTATTAATGTTATGTCTGTCACTATTTTTCATAAAGAAATTACTATTCCTTTTAACATAAACTACATTTTCATAGATGTACTGTGAGGCTAGTGTAAGAATGTTAATTTCCTTAAACTTATCTCACAAAGATACTTTGGGGCCCAGATTGTAAATTGCCCTAACTGCACGTTTCTGCAGGACAAAGATTCTATTGATATCGGTGGCATTACCCCAAAGCAAAATGCCATATGTCATTAGACTGTGAAAGTAGCTGAAGTAAACCAATCTAGCGGTTTCGACGTCTGAAAGTTTCCTTTTTTTTTTAATCGCGTACACTGCAGAGCCGAGCCGTTTTGATAACTTACTTATATGGGGACCCCATTGCAATTTAGCATCTAGAAATACAACTGTATCCACAATATTCAATTTTTCGTTTCTAACTACAATGTTTGTAACCGTCTCTCTAACATTGGGTAATGTAAATTTCACACAATTTGTTTTTTTCTCATCAAGAAGTGGGTTATTAACAGCAAACCAATCAACTACTTTAGATATAGCATTGTTCACATCGTCCTAGGAACATTGGTGCCTTTTAACTTTAAATAATAAGGAAGTATCATCAGCAAACAATACTATCTCATGTTTTATACCCTCCATAAGGCTAGGTAAGTCATTAATATAAACTAAAAACAAAAATGGGCCTAGAATTGAACCTTGAGGGATACCCATGTTAATTGCAGGCCCTGATGATCTCGTACCGTTAACATCGACCCTCTGTACCCTAACACGCAAATACGATTTAAGAAGGTCGAGATCACGTCCCGCCACACCATAATGGCGAAGTTTCCTGACCAGTGTAAATCCGAAACAATTGACGGGTATCGTCAATGAGTGTCGTCAATTGTTTCATTTCAAATCGACAAGTTAACTTGAGCTTTGCTATAACGGACGAAAATTGCAAAATTACATATTTAGTATTTAATTACCGATGAAATTTAATTCCGTTTGTTTTATAATTAGATGTTTTCTGTTTTCCCCCACACCACCAAATGAAACAGCACGCCATTGTTAGAGATATTATCTTTATTACAAAAACTACAGAATATTTTTGGAATATACGGAGACGTACATACAGGTCAGTTGTTGGCGCTTCTATATTTCAGGGCAAACGAGAGTTGATGTTTATCAGTGATGTATCACTGATGAGTTACTAGGAATGTATGGCCTTATTTCGTCTCTGTTTCTGGTTATGTAGTCGATGGCAAAACATAATAATAATTTTCTACCCCTATACCTGAAATTCTGTACCTATCACAGACTCTCTTTTAGAGTTGTGACACAAAATTCTATTGTCTATGGCACTAGCTACTAAACTGAAAAAATTCATTCATTATAATAAGTTTCAAAAAAAAAGAAACTCGGATTTTTGCTAATTAAAATATCAAATATGACGACACTACTTAAACGCTCTCTCTGTACTGATGACAGTATTTCAACCGGGACATAAATATTTATTAAAAAATGACTGGTTAAAATAAAGTTTTGTAACGAAACTTAATATCACTTATAAGCGGTACTCGGATAATAAATTACTCATTAGGTAACATACTTTCGATATCTGTTTAATGGTTTTTGATATCTCTTGGGTACATTTAACAAGTACATACAAAGGCTCAACTTACACTGGCGCAGAGTCGAAGCGTCGCGTCGCGTCCTATTTTTCAACTACAACGCATGACGATGCGCGTCGTCGCGCGATGACTTTCGCATTAGCGCGCCTGGATCACAGCGTGGTCGGAGTCTGACTCCTCACTGCGCGCAAGTAATACATGGCAACACAAATTTGTACCTTAATAATGGGAAAATATGAAATGAATATGCTATAGGCGAAAAACATGACGCGTCGCGACGCTTCGACTCTGCGCCAGTGTAAGTTGAGCCTTATTGTTTAAAGATTAATAGAAATAATTAATGAAAAGTAAATAATGTGTTTTTTTTTTGTTACAGTGTTTGGTAACGCTGGTGCTCCTGTTATCTCCGAATATAGAGTCGTTAATAGTCTATGTGACAGCTGTAGAAGCTATGTTCACTCTGAGCTCAGTATCTGGCCTTTTATGGATGCGCTACAAGCGCCCAAAAGCCTCTCGCCCTATAAAAGTTAATTTGGCATTGCCACTAACATTTCTTGTCATTTGCACGTTCCTTGTACTCTTCTCCTGCTTCATAAATCCCGTAGAAGTCGGCATCGGAATTGCATTTATTGCTTTCGGTGTTCCAGTGTACTGCGTCTTTATAAAGTGGCAAAATAAACCTAAATTGATGCAAATCCTATGCAACTCCTTTAATCTTTTCTGTTCGAAAATGTTTCTTAGCCTCCCTGAGGACTCTAAAGATTTATGATCACGTTTTATTCCATTTATTACATTATTTTTGACCTATTTATTTATTACTGAGCGCTGTGTTAAGCATAATAACCATGATCTGCCCCTGTAGCATGGCTACGCATAGTAGTCGCGACACACGCGATAAAATTGAAATAAGCGCGCGTTATTGGAAGACTCAATCCATTGACCTACCAATAATGGACATCGGGTTCGCGCTTAAAAGTGTCCGCATGTATAGGGCGTTAAAATCACATACAGAGCGTCAATCGCGCATCAGTCTTCGTTTGTTCGACTGCCAGCGCCTTGTATCATATTTTCACTAAACAAATATATTGTGTTATCATAGTTCTCATTTAAAAATGTAATTTTGTACAGTTTTATAGTATTTAATTTATATATAAATGAATCATAAATATAAATTACAATAGCACACAAAATAATCAAATAGCTAACTGTCCTTTTTCTACACATTGCATGCGCAAAAGTTAGAAAGAGACGCATTGTGTCAATTCTAAGAATCTTATATATAAACTTCTTGGTCATTTTCAATTGTTCGAACAACAAGCGATTGAAATATTTAGAACAAAGAAACTATAGAGTCGCTTTGATTTTAGTCTTATTTTTAAAATGATTTTTAATTAAACGTTAGCAATAACTAACAAAATATTGTATTAGAAGTCAGAAAATACATTTGCCCGAAATAACGTTAGCTCGACTTTTTATAATGTGAAATGTATTTTTTTAGAAAGATTACTAAATAAAAACTAATTTTGTCTTTGTAAAAAGCATTAAAATTACACGAAAGCGTAACGGTTTTATTATAAATCGGTTTTCGGAATTACGGATATTTGAGTTTACGTTTACTTGAATATCGGTACATTTCTTATAGTACACGCTTATCATTTGTACATAATGCTTAACATTTGTAGTAATATTTCTATGTATATATCTGCCCAACTCTTTATTATTTCTTTAAGTGAATTTGTGCAAAATTCGACATAATAATATATATAAAAATTATTTAATATTTACGATAAAGGCTACTCATTACTCTTGTGTTCAAGTAATTTTCAGTTGAAGCTAAATATGGTGCAGTTTCTTAAATTTCCAGTAGAAGCTGAATATGGTGTTTTTGGGCCCTTAAATTGTTGCAAGCAAAATTAGGCATTACTGCAATGACGTTACAATTCAAATTAAATGTTTTAGTTTTTTATATTTCGTTACATGTTACTACGTTTGTATAGATTAACTTCGGTCATTTTTTTCGTGGTTTTTGTATTAGATCCGACGTCTCCATTTGTCGGTAAGTCAATGGCTCAATCAGATCTAATTTAGATAGCCAATAGCGTGCGCTTATTTCAACTTTATCGCGCGCGTCGCGACTATCATGCGTAGCCATGCTACGGGGGCAGTTTAGTTTAAAATAATTATAAGACAACAATATTGATTCCTAAACTCATAGTTTTAAGGTATAATAAGTTTGGAAATATAATAAATTTCGTATAACACTTTAAGTGTAAAATAATTCTGTTAATCTGCTGACTCAACCTGTAGCTCCGTTGGTAGAGCATCGCTCCAGGTTTGGCATCGTCACAGGTTCGAGTCCTGTCAGATCAAGGAAGTTTCTTTGTGTTCGATCTTTGTATTATTGATAATTATAATTCTTCTTATTTGATTTTAAAATCGGGACTTAATCATGTATAAATAAACATATATTATTTACGTTTTGTTTTATACAATGTGTACATGGTAGTAAGCGACACGCCTGTCCATAACAGTTGTAGTGTCACTCAGATATTTTAATCGCAAAGAATTTAGGGGCACTGCCACTGCACCTGTCACCTTGAGACATATTTTGACAAGTCCCATTGCCTGTAATTTCACTAGCACATTATTACTTGGCAGTAGAAATAGGTAAGGTGGCTGTATTTCCCTGGATGAACCTTTCACAGGAGCTCTACTGCTATTAAAGCTCTTCTGCAACGTTTTGGACGTGTTGCAACGTCCACGGTCTTTTGAACCTTGAGTCCATTCGAGATCATGGACATTGCAACACGTCCGAAACGTCAAGGTGAATTAAATATCTTTATACACTGTGAAGTCCCAATTCTAAAATCTAAGAATGTGTGAAAATCATGAAAGTTTAAATCAATGCAATTGTAATTGTTTATTAAAAACAATATTTATATGACAAGAATATTGATTCCTAAACTCATAGTCTTAAGTCTTAATAGCTGTAAAACTATTATAAATTTCATATTACATACACTTTTAAATTCGTAGTTGTACTGATTGAAAGTGTACCTACTACCCAATGAATTTGTTTAATCAGATGTTAATACGTCATCTTTCTTTTATTAAGAATGTTGAATCCACAATAATATCGGAGCGAGGAGAAGCGGAAAAAACTGTATTGTTAGATCAAATGGTTTGAATTTTTGCTTTTAAATAACGGTCTTACAATAAATAGGCGCCTTGACGTCGAGTTGCGGACACCAGCCCGTTGCACCAAGTACCAAGTACAATAAATATATAATAAATATATAATATACACTTTAGGTATTCTCTAAAGAATGTGCTAATTTGTTACACGGTGGGTCGTAATTCACTCGATCATATAAAATCCTGAATGCAGGCTAAAATAAAAGTCTAAAACGAATTGTTTAAGAACAAAATATCTAACTTTGCACATAATTTTTATTTGTAGATATTTCTCTTTAAGTACCACATAGAACCTGCAAAATTTAGCAGGCTTACAACAGAAGTCTTATAGTTTTAAATTCACATTTAGCCCAAAAATTGTAAATTTGCCGGCACTTCGCTGATCTGCGTCGAAATTTATACGCCTATAAATAAATAATAGTACATTGTGTGGACGGTAAATAAGAAATTACTAACGAGAGTCTATTAGTTTAATAACTCAATTTGTGTATTTTTTTACCGTCCGCCATACATACAATGTTTTTCATCACATTTGCGAGGAAATAAATGCAATGTTTATTTCTTGTATGAATAAATAAGGTTCACAACAATTATGGATTTTGCAAATGGTGAGCGAGCTTGTAACTCTACCGTCTAATATTATCGATCGAGTTACAAGTATTCTAGAAGGTTGTAATATTTTTCTGTATCTAATGGAGCAATAAACATTTTTGACGTAACTTCGCTTATGCTATTCTACCATGAGGGGTGCGATTTGTTGATGTTATATTTAACAATATTGCTGCCTACATAGAGTATATACTCTTAAAATAACAGAAACACGATTGCTCGCGCGATCTCACGAGTGCCCGCACGGTCTCTCCCGAGCTCGCGATGGCTATTAATATCAATCGCGAGATCGTGGGGTACGTACGGTTTGAGATTTAAAAGAAGATGCTTTCATCTGATTCTGCTTCCGTTAACATATTTAATAATAATAATTTACGAAACATGTTCCTTCTGCCGCGTATTTATCGCTAGATAAATGAACAGCGCTGAATCTTCACTACCCACAATCACAGCGTGGGCTGGTGCGAGGTCGCAATGGCTCGAGCGAGTTATTCATGGCAATTTTTTTGGTTGAAATGGGCTGACGAGTTTTCTATTCTCGCCTAACTTCGTAACCGGAAAGAAAATTTTATTGAAATATCTGTAATAACAATCGAATGTTAATCGAATTTAGTAGTTGTAGAACTCCTTGTGAAATTGTTCGTTCAGGGTAGTACTGCCACTTTACCTATTTCTGCCGCCAAGCAGTAATGTCAGCATTACTGTGTACCGGTTTTGAAAGGTAAGGGTGCTGGTAAAATTACAGGCTTGGGACTTGCCAACGTATGTCTCCGAGTGACGGGAGTAGTGGTAGTGCCCCTCAGATCTATGCAATTGAAAGCTCTGAGTGGCACTATAACTGTTATGAACGGCGTGAAACTTACCATCAAGCGCACGACTTAGTTCGTCCTGTCACTTGATGTTATGAAAAAACAGAATGAAACTGATTTTTATGGAACTTTTATAGTGTGAAACTACGGACCCTTTATCATCTTCATCTCTCTCATTACGCGTTCCTATGAAGCGCCCTTTAATGACCTGATTTTTAAAGAGGTTCAACTAATATTTACCTTGGTATTAGTGCGTATAATACCTAAATTTCCCTCTATAAACTATTTTTCTCACTTTGACAGATTACACATTTTTCACACCTGACTTCCAGACCTCTGCATATTCTATTACACTGATAGCTTCTCCGAACTTTGGTCTACAATTTTTCCATAATTATGCATCATTTCATCAATTTCACTTTCTAAATATATTTATTATTATTATTATTATCTCCTTAATGACGGCCACTATATAGGCTTGGGCCAGTGTCAGTTTCGATCACAGACCACATAAATAATAATAATAATAATAATAATAATAAATTTCTTTATTTCCTCCACAAAATTTAGATGTAACCAACGAACAAATTTGATCTTATGAAATAGCAATTTGTGGAGACTGGTGCCTAAACTAGGATACCCTGTGTTTTAGGTCACCAGGACTCCACCTCCAGTAGATATGTGGCCAACATGGGTATAATAAAGTGAGAATACAGAATTTAAACAAATTTAAAATTAACTTGAAACTAATAAAACAGCCAAAAAATGAAGTAAACAAAAAGAAATTTTAAAATAAAAACAATGATAAGCATGCATTGAAGTGTGTGTGTGTGTGTGTGTGTGTGTGTGTGTGTGTGTGTGTGTGTG